CAACAAGGTACATGGGGTGATAATTCTATACTCAAAGTGATATTTTCATGTTTTCTATTTGTTTTTATTTCAAATCTTACATAATTCACGTCGCCTTTTCACTAAATTCTCACTATTATAAAAATACATTTACCCCCAAACGTTTTTAAACACAAATAGGTTTGCAGAACTGATAGACGCACACTGCAAAAAACTGTTATTGTAACGTTAGATAAATGTGGTGCTATGAAGCGTTGTCTACGGAGGCACTGGATACAAACACATTCTATTCTTTCGCCCTTTTTCTGAATCAAGCCTTTCTTTATACCCATGCTTTTGCAGTTCTTTGTTTGTTGTTTCTGTTTGTAATGTGACAAAGTGCAATAAACTCAAGAATTTCATCTTCTGGAAGGAGTCTTGTTGACTCTGCAGATAAGCACAATATTGACCAATCTTTTGGATTTCTCCACACTCTCTGTAGGTTATACCCATCAAGAGGGATATTGGAAAGAGACACAGTCGTAAAGTCCTTTAGTCGTCTGTGACAGCTTTGGCCTCTGATGTTTTTCTGCTTAGATCAATTGCTGCATTGGTCTGCCTCTTCACATACATATTCATGGTTCTGCAGCAAAGTAGCCCATTGAAGCATGCATCGATGGTGCTTATGCAGAATTTAAGACCGTCATTTGGCTCTGGACAGAAGCGCAAGCTGCGACATAAAGAGCAGCTTCACAGTTTAGTTGATGACACCAGCAACATTTTAACAATTTAATGTCAGTGTTCCCATGGTCCAAAAGCCTTTCAGAGGGGTGATTAACATAAAATGCACATGCATATGTGAATCTTTTGTTTCTGTGAGCTCTCACTGACATTTATAATAAGAGGTTTTCGATTTTTAGCTTTTAATTTAGTTTGATGTTTGGAATCAGAGTCCTTGTTTTTTTAATGGGAGTAAGAGGAGCTGTGATTGCAGGTTGGGGTGTCAGCTCTAAAGGCTAAATATACAGTTGTTTTTTTTACTACCTTCCTCGTTGTTGTAAATATGTTATTAACTCATCTTATTGCAAAGATTGAGAGCTAAAGGACTCTTGATTTCTATGTTGTGTTTTTCACCCCCAAAAAAGAGAAGAATTGCAGAAGAGCTTAGACATATTTTTACCGCTTTTTGCCAGACAGGCTTGAAGATGTTTGTGATTTTTTATGCTTCGGGGGCCTTCTACTTAAATAGGCTTGTCGATCACTTCCAACCTCTCTCAACACCCACCAAGAACCCCAGCTCATGACAAACAAAACAGCATGATTCCTTTCAAATAGAATAGAGCTAAAAGAGCTAGAGCTTTAAAAAAAAAAAAAAAATGATGATCATATACGAATGCTGGTGAAGATTCTCAGTCATTCAGGTCATAGTCATTCCAAAAAAAGTTAAAAAAAAATAAATAAATAAACAATCCACTGGACTTTGTGTCCAAGTTTGAAGACTTTTAGCCTCCCATCCAGGAAGCTTTTTCAATTCAAAATGTCAGAAATAGTGTTTCTAAGCCGAAATAAGGCTTTGTTTTGGTCCACTCTATAAAGCCTTGAAGTCAACGCTATTTCTGACATTTTGTTTGTTTTTTTTACTTTTTTTCATACATGTAAGTCAAAATTAAAGGCACACTATGCAACATTTTTCAGTTAATTAATGTGTTCCATAACGTTATGGATGATTAAATGAGTCATTTCAGGTTGAACAAAGGTATTCTCGGCCGCCCTGGTGGTCTGTGGGGGAAATACTGCACTTGCAACTGCAGGAGCACCGACCCGCACCCACAGGCTCAGAAGTCTCGTGAGAGTCAGTCTTGCTTTACGGCGAGAACTGCTACACCCCCCAGTTAAAAGCATGCTCGTTGCTAGCACAGTGGCGATCTTTGTGCAGTTATGCTACGTTCACGCAGCAAAAGCAGCAAAATCGCGTCTGCTGCCTCATTTTTGCTGCTTGTACCAGTTAGTTCTGAGGCGCGGCTGAAGCAGCTTTGCTGCTCTGGCTGCGCGGTGCAAAAGTGTGTCTGACGCGCGTTGGGCGGAGCTTCACTATCCTTTCTCTGCCTTGCAGCTATATTTGCTGTGATCAGTGGGAATAAAGTAGTTTTAATATGTGTTTAAGTGAGAAAATACACCTGAAAACGTAATCAATGCAGTCAGTTCATTCAGATTATTATCCTGCCTTCAATATTTTTTCTGTCGGAGCCGCTCAGACCCCCACATACCAGGGATGCGCCGAAAGTAGGGATCCCTTCATCAGCAGCCTCTGGCCGGGTTGCCTCCTCGCGGTTCACCGCGGCAGCTGGTAGGTGTTTTTCATCTAAATAATCCAAACTGCATGTTCTGCCGGCAGATTTCTGCATTTTAAGTTAATTTAGGCGTCAATAAACTGTTTAAGAGGAGTGATCATCAGCGCTGTGTCTCTCTCCCTGCGTCAGATGCTTAGCCCGACGCACTGCTTCAGCTGCTCAGACGTGCTGCGCCTGCTGCTCAAAATGCGCCGCGGGACCTTTTGCTGCGCCTTGATGCGCGTCAACCATTGACTTTGCATGTAAACTCGCTGCTGCTGTCGCGCCAGCTACGTCCAGTGTGAACGCAGCATTAGTCATTCGCTGCTAAGCTCAAAACAACCGCGCCTGGCTTGACGGAGAAACCAGGAGAACAGCTGTGCATATTTACGACAGTGCACTTTTACTTTCGCCCTCTGGGGGGAGCCTCGCTGGAAAATCAACACCGGTTGCATAGTGTACCTTTAAAAAAGCACAGGGAATTTTCTATATATATGGAATATTTAAAATAAGTTTTTAATGTCACTGATTTAATTCCAAAGATTCCCACTGGGAGGAGGCTAACGGGTGACCCAGGAAAAATGGGATGGACTTCTGTACCTTCAGTGCCACAGGGTTCCCCCAGTAACCTGACAACAGCCAGATGCATGTCTCGCTCCGCCTAGGAGCGAGACATGCATCTGGCTGTTGTCAGGTTATTCCCCCAGAGGATCTATAGAGGAGGTTCATTGCCAGAGAAGCTGTAGACAACAAGTATTTCAATTCAATTCCAAAATTAAAACTCCATTTAGAGGGATGCTTTAAAGTCTTTATCTTCTATTTAAAAGTTTTGGAGCTTAGCTCAGAAAATATCAGTGTTAACAGAGGGCGTTTCAGTTCTGCAGTTAGCTGTGTTCATTAATGCAATGAAGACAATTGTAGAAAAAGTAAAATAAAGTGCAAAATAATACAAAATAGATAAACAAATTCTGCATTATATTGCAACAGTATGGTGCTTGTTACTAACTGAAAAAACACACTAAACTCATTGAATAAAAAGTTTAAAACACATGCCCTCACAACATTCAGTAACTTAAAAGTTGGAAAAAAAATGCAAAAAGTCTTTATATTGTTTTGTTTTATGACATGGAGCTTAGCACTGTCTAGAGAGGCATGATTTAGGATTCCTTTCCTAATATATGATTTAATTACATATAATTGATGACTGAAAATAACAGAAGCCCTCTTATACTTCTTATCCACAAGGTCTTAAGATGGGCCCAATAATATTGGAGAAGACCTTGACTATGCCCATTATATGATACTCACTGAACTCAAACACAGGATTCTTAATTGCTCTACATAGATAGGTCTGCTGTCTCTTATCTTCAGCTTAACATTACCCCACAGACTGTATATGGGGTTTGGCATAGTCCAATTTGCTGGCCACTGTTTTTCCTTCCACTTAAATGTATAGTGGAGGATGTTCTATTTCCGGGAGGATCATCAAAATAAGTGGTCCTCCTAATTTAGACAGATTTTATTTAATTATTTTGTAAACACAAGTGTAAACAAAAAGAAATTTAGTTAAGAATGACTAATTGTCAATGATTCTGGTGTTATGTAAGGCTGTCATACGTGCTCATCCCGATTTATACTTAGCGGTGGTGAGTCTAACTAGTGGAAAAATTTGCAAATCTTCGTTTGGAAAGTAAGCTTGTATGAGCGATGCAAACAGCAACTGTTAAACAGTGCATGCATGAGGTGAAATTGGCTCATGCACGCGCTCATATGCATTTATTAGGTGTTCCTCCTCGGGAGTGGGTATGCATGTGCATTTTTTTTTTTTTTCAAAAGTTATACCTTTAAATTCCCATGTGTGAGCTTAGCTTTAGAACTATTTGAACTTCCAGCTTCTCCAGCAATGGCCTTCTGCAGATAAATCTCCTTGTAGATTGTGATACATTGTGATCCCCATCATTGTGTACATTATAACACCAACATGAAATGGGCAGTCCGTCTCTCTCTCTCTCTCTCCCTTTACACACAGTTCTGCGAAACAATTTATATCCAAATTTGACTTATCATTAGCTGCATTCCATGATCACCTAAATAAGTAAAACTCTTGAAACATATCTAACTCCTTGGATAATTTAATTATAATTATACTTCAGTATAGCAGACTAAGGGTGAAAGCTGAGGTACACCTTGGAAAAGATGTCAGTACATTGGAGGGACACTTATGCACACATGCTTATACTGTACCTAAACTCCACATCTAAAGAGTCACCAGTTAACCAAATGGTCACTTTACTTGACAGTTGGAGTAAGTTGGTGTACCAAGAGAGAACCCATGCATGCACCTGGAGACCATACAGAAACTATAAACAGGGAGTTGATTTTAGATGTTCCAAACTTGGACTCTTTGTCACCTTGCAGCCCAAACTATGCATATTTCATAATGATTATTTTCAATTGAACCTATAAAATACATTAGACCTATTTGGTTGGTTTACAATCTAATGGGATACAGTGGCACATCTTTGTAAAGCCCCTAAAACATGAAGATGGTTGCAGGTACCTTCCACAAAAGCCTTTTGGAGGTATGAAGAAAGATAGAGAGAAGTACCAAAAAAAACTCTTCTTTTACTTTTAGTGGAAGACAGAGAGCAGCAGAGAAAAAACTAGAGGAGGAAAAGGGGGGAGGGTAAACACACCCAGACAGCTAGAGCCACGTCTGGCAGAAAGAACTGATTATAAGGCCAACAGAAGGGAAACAGAAGAGGGAGGGAGAGAGGAAAACCATGAGAGCGTAGATGCAAAAAAGGCAGGAAAAAAAACAACAAAAAAACACCACAGTGTAAAAGATGCACAAGGAACAATAACGCACTGTGTTGGTGAAAGGGAGCTGGTGAGAGCAATGAGAAATCAGGCAGACTTTAGTCATCGCTGCTGCTGAGAAGCAGTCCCCTCTCTCCGCTCCATCTCTCTCCGTGCCAGCTTGAACCGAGCCTCGGTATGGTCTAGGGAAATGGGTTTGGGGCTTTTGATTCGGATTTGCAACTTTAATGCTGTAAGAGTGGATTTGACCGTGCTGTTATTTCTGATTGAACACAGTGTGCGACGCGGAGACTCCTGCAGTGCCTGCTCCCTTCCCTGCAGCCGCCGGCTGTGTTTGGGCTATGGTCCTGCCTGAGAACCGGGGCATCACCCAGATGAACAACTCCGACTGTGTGGGAGGGTAAAGGCAACAAAAACAGCAGCATGGGAGCAAAGCAGATGAAATGGTAGGACGCGCTGTTTCTTTTTAACATTGTGATTATTCTAAACATTAAACGCCAGCAGCCTACAGGCTGCTATTGTTATCAACAAGGCGCGTATGCATGAGAGACAGAAATACACAGAACCAGGCCTACATCCAGAACAACCCACTCTCTGGAATTGCATGTGGATTTTAATTATAGGCAACTCATAATAACAGATTTTTATCACAAATGCATGCGTTTATAACCCAGAGAAACCCAGAGAATTGCTGCATGTTTACATTGCAGTGGACGTGGGTGTGTCCCTTTATGTGTCTGCAGGAGATGAGCCTTCATTGCCTAGCAACCACTAAAGCAGACCTGGCCACGCTAGATGTTTTAGAATAAAACTACTGCTACAGTGCATTGCTTTCATACTTTAAAGTGTATTGCTGTTCTGTTTTTTTAAAGTATTTTATTACATGTCATATGATAAACCAGCATGATGCACTGAACTGTAAAGCAGAAGGAAAAGGCACATTCTGGAGCCTTCTTGGGTCAATGCTTTGTTAAACCACGTTTTATAACATTTAATAAAGTGTTTTTTATATATATATTTTATCTGAAGATTGAAACTTTTGCTCATTGCAAAAATAGGCAGATACTGACTGGAGGGGATATGTGGACTTCCATCTTCCACAGAGATGGGAAGTAACAAAGTACAAATACTTCGTTACTGTACTCAAGTAGATATTTCTGATATTTTTACTTTACTTTACTACTTATTTTTCTGGGGACTTTTTACTTCTACTCCTTACATTTTTACACAAATATCTGTATTTTCTACTCCTTACATTTTAAAAAATTGGCTCGTTACTTTAGTTTTGAATCATTTCAATGGAGTTACCGTTATTATTTTTCACGTCATCAATACCAAATTCAGTCTAATTGGATGGGAATCTACTTTGCATTTGACGCACCACTGCAAGATGAATCGACAGATTCGGCGGTATTCATTGGCGGCAAATCATTGCAGCTTGGTGGCGGTGGCGTTAGCATAGTAGCATGGACGACGAGATGATTGAAAATGAACACATCGGAGATCTAGTCCTATTGGCAGACATCCATTTAAAATGTAGGCAACGGCATGAAAAAAGTGGTTTCTACTTTTACTTTTATACTTTAAGTAAATTTACCAGCCTGTACTTTGATACTTTTACTTGAGTAAAGAAGTTTAATCAGTACTTCCACTTTTACCAGAGTATTTTTTAACACAACTGTACTTTTACTCAAGTACGGAAAGTGAGTACTTTTGCCATCTCTGATCTTCCAGGTTACACAGAAACTCTCATTTTGATGGACATTGAGTGGTTTATTCTATAAACAGAAATGCTTTAAACTAGACATTACTGAAGCCTTCTTGGGTCTATACTTTGTTAAACCACTTTTTATAACATTTAATGAAGTGTTTTTTTTATATATATAGTTTTACCCCCTTTTTTTCTTATCTGAAGATTTAAACTTTTGCTCATTGCAAAATAGCCAGATACTGAATAGAGGTGATATCTGGACTTCAATCTTCCAGGTTGCACAGAAACTCTCAATTTGGTGGACATTGAGTGATTTATTCTATAAACAGAAATGCTTTAAACTACACATTTCCTCTGACCAGTGAGGAAAAAGTTTGCTGTCAAATGTTTGCTCCCTTAAACAGCTTTTGTCCCAGGATTTAGCTCTGTCCATTTTTCTATCACTTCTGGTGTCTTTCTGTTGACCACTAGCCATCCTACTGCATGATGCTGGCACTACCATGTTTCACACTGTCTTCCAGGTGAGATGCAACATCCACTTTAATTCACTGATTGCATTTTGACGTTAGGCCAATAATTACACTTTTGTCTTATCTGATCAGCGCAAGAGTATAGCTTTGCGGTGAAAGTTGGTGGGGACACTCTTAGGATGATGGCTGATGGACCTACAGTTATTCTACACAAGGCCTTTCAATAGGCTTTGTATTTTCCAAAAATAAGCTAAAACATATATTTATTGAATGCTTTCCTAATGTTGAGATCACAAAATAATCAAAATACACTGATATTTATATTTATAGACATTCACGTATATAAAAAAAGGATGAATAACAACCGATTCCGATGCCAACAGCAATATATAACGCCTTCCTACTATGTACACAATTTCAGCTTCATTCATGCATTCACCAATCCATCCAGAAAAATGTGGATTGATTGATGGATATTTTTCCTTTCATCTAAATTAGTGATTATCCTTCTTCAAAAGCAGAAAAATCTAATTGAGACACTTGCCCCACATATTGCCAAAAGCTATGTATTGAAATTATTGGTGGGGACATGTCCACACCAGTCCTTCAGAAAGTTACACCTGTGGATCAGAGCATCTTCTGCCACTTTTTTTCTGGGAGTAAACTACAAAGAAGGCTTCTGTTGGCTTTTTTCTTGTCATTATTTCACATTGGCTTGATTTTTAAGGACAACTAAGTCTTGTTTTTCCACAGTTTCTTCCAGTTACATGCTCGGATAGGCTGGTATCGGCCAGTATCGGTATCGGATCGGAAGTCCAAAAACAATATCGGTATCGGATCGGAAGTGCAAAAACCTGGATCGGGACATCTCTAGTGTCTATTGTCCAGATTTATACAAAATATTGTTTCCCTTAATACTAGAATGGACACACAAACATGAGCAGTGACATCATAGTGCAAAAAAAAAAAAAACACCCACTGTCTGGTTAGCATGCTTTCTTTCCTTAGGGAAGGAAAGATTATTTATCAAGCATATTTCATTAGCAAGATAATTCAAAGTGTTGTACATAAAAAAACATAAAAGGAAAACAGAGAAAAGTCCATTGCAGTGGCTTAGAGGTAATTAGATAATTAAGGAATAAAAATGATTAATTAAATGATAAAATATTTAATAACATAATAAAATGAATGAAAGTTGGACTACACATTTTAACTAATAACTTTACATAGCACAGTCAAAGGTCACTCTAAACAAATGTTTTTTTTTTTTTTTAGACTAAAGCTTCTTCACAGTTTTCTGGGGTTTTTTTCATATTAGTGGAGCATGCGAAAAAAGTAATACTTTAGTTCCGTTTTAATTTAGATTAAGAATATTTTGATGCATCAGTTTCTTTTATGCATTTACCTAAGACTTGAAGGGGTCCATATGGTCACCTGGTTACATGTAACATAGAGGTGTGTGTCATCTGCATAGTTTGGGTAACTGAAGTTGCTGTTTATTATAATCTAAGTTAAAGGGGAACTCCGTTTTTTTTTACATTGGCCCCTTGATTTTACGTTATTACATCATGTTCTACTCACCCATATATAATTATAATAATAATATAAATATAAATAAAAAAAAACACGGATGTCTGGGGAACAGTGATTCTCCTACATGTTATGAATGCCTGCGTACCATAAATGATAAATTATGAACAGTTCAGTTTGTGCCTTGAAGTCGTTGCCCACAGGAAGACGTTACTTGGATATAACCTAAGGGAATCTTCAGAACAGCTCCAAATGACACAAAACTCATATGGGTGAGTAGAACATGATGTAATAACGTAAAAAAAACTAAGTCTTGTTTTTCCACAGTTTCTTCCAGTTCAGCTGCAGGTCTCTGCATACAGGGCTACCATTAGCCTCTTATTAATGCTCTTCCTACCTGGCGTTTCAGTTTAGGTGAAAGTGCATGCGTTGGTATATTTCAATTATGCCAACCTCCTTTATCCGTATACTTTACATGTCTTGGGTGTTCTGTAGTGTTCATGCTGTAGTTCAATTTCAATAACGTTGAGGGCTCACAGAACAGCTGTATTTACATTGAGATTATAATGCATGCATGCTGTACTTCTGGTATTTCTAAGATGTTAAGTAAGATTATGGATGCTAAATTATGAGATGTGACAAAAGTTTTATGAATAAAAATCCTATTGCAAGACAATATTAATGAGAGTTTACTGACTTCTTTGATTTAAAAAATACTTTGAAAGTGTAAATCAAATGTAATATAAGTAAAAATAAAAGTTAAGTTTAAATTAGGCTTACCAACATTTCCTTAATAATTATAGTAACATATGTATTACTATAAAAATGTTAAGAGCGGCTGTGAACTCCATAAAATGTTATTATATAGGCAATAAAGCACTTTTAGCTGCATATTAACATAGTGATGAACAAATATGCATGCTCAGTAATTTCCCCCTCAGCTTATTATGTTCTATTAATCTGTTGGTACTAAAGCTCATCCTCTGCAAATCCCATGCAGTGCCTAATCTTTGGCTCAACCCATATGTTCCCGTTTGAAATGGTATTTGCTCTGTTTGTGTTTTTGTGTCAAAGCTGAGCACAGAAAATAATTTTTAAACCCACTGCTTTTGGAGTAATAGAGGCGATTCTGAAAGCGTTTTTTAACATGCAGTCAGAGAGCTTGCAGGGGCCAACAGTTCCTTGATCCGCTTCGAAAAACACTTAGGGATAATTAAAGTGGCATCTGATAAGATGCTCACTTCCTGTTTTTATGTGACCTCAAGTAATGTCTCTGAGAAGGAACATGAAGGAGAAAACAATCAGACATGCTGGTTATTGACGGATCTGTTTTACCGTAGGAGGCCACGCATATATAATACATTACAACAATACTACACAGAATTCTCACAGAAGGTGTCATTTTCTCTAAAAGAAGGAACTGGACTGAGAATCACAAATTGTTGCAGAGGCTCCTTCTGACATTTTATAATGACAAACTAAGATTCTGGCATAAAGTCTGTTCAGTTTGTTTTAAACAGCTTAGACAGAATGAAAACCAAAATTTCTACTTAATTGTTTACATTTTTTCATAAAAACTTAAAGGTGTGGTGGTAGATGTTCTTTTTCCAGGTGGATCATCAAAATAAGTGGTCCTCCTAACTGTCAATCATTCTGGTGATATGTTTATGTAGGGCCATCCTACTTGCTTGTCCCCAGTTTCACTTACCAGTGGTGAGACTAGCTAGTGGCAAAATTGCAAATCTTCTTTTGTAAAGTTAGCCTGTATAAGCGATGCAAACAGCAGTTTTTAAACAGAGCGTGCACGAGGAGAAATGGGCTCCTGTATGCATTTCCTCTCGGGAGCGGGTACAGGGATGTGCATGTGCATTTTTTATTTTTGTTGTGGAGAGGGCAAGTCTTTTCAAAAATTTGCAAAAATCCTCCATTATACCTTTAATAATTCTGGTTGTATAATTAAACTTGTCACTAGTTAGTAGCTTGAACCCTCCAATGTGTCTGAGGTCAGGGAATTCGCCGAGAAGTTTAATGTTTACTGGCTTTTATTCATCCCAATCCAAGCAATGATGTGTTATGGATCATTATGTTCCTAGTACACCCCTTTCAATTTATATTTCCAATATTAAATCCCCAATGACCCTCAATGACTGAATACTGTTGTGCCTTTAATTTTTTTAATGATTAAATGTTTGTTAACAAATAGATATGATTGATATAAATGTTTTTATTACCAAGGCAAAAACACAAGGAGCACTTATGATCAATGAGGACATTATATATTTAACCACTGCTCTTTGCCTACATGCAAATCTGTTTAAAACCTGAGCATTAACCTCTCAGCAGCTTCTTTGTTCAGTTTCTCATGCTGCTGCTGATTCCTTTAGGCATGTTTCCAGTTTAGCTGAAGATATCACAGGAATGTGCTGGGTTAGTCTATGCTGGAGCAGCGTGAACTCTAAAGTGACAAATGTTTGTTCTCTGTTGTGATGTTTGCTTATGTTAAGTAATGCCTGCAGATAGGCATAAAGTCTGGTCAACTGAGGTCTAAATCTAGCTGTATATTGATGGGAAGAAGCATTTTTAACTGTGAAAATAGAATCCCTCGAGGCATTCCTTGGTTTCTCTGTAAAGCTTTATCCCACAGCTAAGCCACATTTTTTTCTTCTTTTTAACATTTTTTTTCTTCCCAGCAGCAGGGTGTCAAATTCAGATGGCTTTTTTATAATGGGTTTTCAGTGCTGAGTTTAGACCTGTTTTTCCTTGTTTCTGCAGGGGCCTTTGGATCAGCCAACCAGGATATTAGTTGTTCCAAAAAAATGAGGCAGAATATCAGAGGAGATGAATCTTTTCCCTCTGAGCAATAATTGGTTGAACAGACATTAAAAATATGACAAAATTTATGTCCAAAAAGCCTCTACATTTGGCTGAAAAGTGAAAGGTGAAAAGCTGCAATTTTCAGCTAATTGAAAAGACATTTGAAACTGGAATTTCAACATCTTTTATTGGACTGAAGTGGGACAAAATAAGGCCAACCAAACACAGCACACTTTTCAAAAAATATTTCTGGACTAAATCAAGACTGTGACGAACAAGGATGACCAGATTGAGCCTAAAAACCAACATCTTCATGACGTTTGGTGTTTGGGCGGGGTTTCTATTTTGGCTCCTTAACTCTGGATGTTGCTTGTAAATATTAGACATCTTAAGTTCCCTGTTTTTGAGTTTCTTTAATAAAACAACAACAGCAACACATCTATACCCAATGGTTTCTATTTTAGTGTAAATTGGGATGGTGCTTTTAATGGTTTCGTTTTATGAATGTTTAAATATTATCATTATTTATTTATTTTTTTTTTTTATCTATGTGATAATGGTTTACCAGTTTAGATAATGAATTTGTCTGCCGAGTTCCTAATGCCTAAATTATAATGAGATTAGGGCTGCAACTAACGATTATTTTAAAAATCGATGAATCGGACGATTATTTTTTCGATTAATCGATGAATCGGACAAAAAATATTTTTTATATTAACCTCTTTATTCCAAAATAAACATTATAGACAGAACAAACAAGCACACAAGTACAGGTTGCTCATTAACTGTACTGGTGCAATATGAAAAATAAATGTTTGTGTTAAAACTACGCAAACTTACATGAGAAATGTAGCTGTACATCCACAAAATATAGGGTACTTTGTTTCATAAAGCGCAAAAAAAGACATTTTTGTTTTTAAAAGCCTCTAAGGGGTTCAAACAATAGGCCCCCCCATTTCAACAAATGGGTTTTTTTTAGACTAGAAGAGGGCTGCCTTTTAAGACAGGAAAGTATAGCAGTTAAAGTTGCTACTTGAGAAAATACTGAACCATAGAGATAAAAATAGCCCTGTGATTCAAATTATAAATTGTATTTGGAATAAAAATGAGAGAACTAGGGGTGCTAAAAAACACATCCTCCAAAGACAGATATTTACATGGGAATGTGGCAAATATAATTAATTGACATATTACTGATCTTGCTGGATTTTATTCTGCTTTACTTCCATAAATTGCAGGATCATCTTTACTTTATCTTTGCCAGAAGATTTAAACTTTAAAAGTCTTGCCCTCATAATTTGCAAGTTAATTTATTTATAAAGTAAATATAAACGCTGCTTAAGCTAATTCAAATGAAATTAAAAGTAAAATAAGTAGCCAACCTTATCACTGTCTGTAACCTACTAACACGGTAAGGAAAGCATCAGATGAGCTACCTGAGAAACTAACGTTACGTTTCCCCACTTTAAAACCAAACAAACATGGTGGTTCCGTGCCATGTTAATTTCTTTTGAAAAAAGTTGCATGTTATCACTTTTTTCGCTTTACAAAGCGCAGGCTATTTTAATTATTGTGATCAATTTGCGCCGTCAATCCCGGTGCATGCGCGCTTCATTTGCAGTCTGGACGCTGAGGCTCTGACTGAGAGGGACTCCTGCGGGAAAATGCGGTTGGGGTGGGGGAGGCGCCCCACGGCAGAGTAGGAACGATGCATGCTTTCACGTAAGAGTCTCCAAAAGCCGCCAGTGACACCGAAAAAAGTCGCCAGATTTGTCGCTAGTCGCTTTTTTGAAAAATAGTCGCTGGAGAGGTCTGAAAAGTCGCGGAGTTGGCAACACTGCACCTGCGGCGCTGACTCGCTCTGCCGTATTTTTTTTTCTTCCTCTTTCAGTCAAGAGGCAGTGATGACGGCGCGGCAGATGACGCAATAATCGCGCGACACAACTAATCGATGATGAAATTCGTTGCCAACGCTTTTAAAAGTCGATTTTTATCGATTTTATCGATTCGTTGTTGCAGCCCTAAATGAGATTACCCCACCCCAAAAGGCCTCTATTTACAAATTACATGACAATTGAATTTGATTTAGGGGATTAAAGTAGAGGAGGTTTGTACTTGCAATGTAAAAACTGAACAAGTAATGGTAGAGGGCAGATAGTATACCTTTCCAAGACAGCATTTAGTCTTTTATGCTCATATTACATTTATAAATAAGCAGATTTTTCCAGGATGGAGATAATTTCATGATTTCATTCTCAACCTGTAGGTAGTAAATATAAAGCGCAGTTATTTACTGTTGTTGGTTTGCCTGATCCATTCATTCCCTCCTGCACGTCCTTACCATCTGTTTCAGCCTTAGCTCTGCCAGCCCTGCCCACTCTCCCAAAGAGGAATATGTTATCGCCCAGTCCGCTGAGGCCCCTACGGAAGTAGTCCCACATCAGCCTGATAACCAGGGGGAAAATCAGGAAGACAAATCTGAGCCGTTAGAGAGGAAATCTGTCCCAGGTTGGTCCTTTACACATTAACTTTTGTAGAGCCAAATATCATGCATCATGTACAAAAAACAGTTAAACCGATTATCCCTTTCTCTTCCTATCAGAGAATGTGTCACTCTGTGGATTGTGTCCCATGCTTGGGCATAATGGGCAGGAGGAAGAAAAGTCCTGGGAGGAGCAGCTGGATGCCCACCAGGAGCAGCTGGAAAAGGAGATGCAAGAAGCCAGGAGGATGGTGTTTCGGCTACAGGTAACTCTATTTGATAAAACTGCTTAGTCTCAGTACAGAGGTACAAACTGTGGGGCCAAAATGAGACTGCCGAAGGCCTCATGGCTCCCAACTTTACCTTCCCTGCCCGGGCCATGACCTGATCCTGATCCACTGAGAGCACTGAATGATTTCATCTCTCACTGTCTCCCTCTCTCTCTCTCTCTCTCTCTCTCTCTCTCTCTCTCTCTCTCTCTCTCTCTCTCTCTCCCTTGCTCTTGTGTCCTTAGTGTCTATTAGGCTTGTCCCGATCCGATCCACGTATCGGATCGGGACGCCGATATTGGCAAAAAAATGCGTATCGGCAAAGCATGTAAAATGCCGATCCAGACTGCCGATCCAGTTTTTAAAAAAAATCCGGTCCGTATTTTCCAGTTTCGCCGATTGAAACGATCCATTCCACTATTTTGCGCCAGTGTTTCCCTGTTTTGCATTTTTATTAAAACTTACAGTAATACCTGCACCTTTAACTGTTTACGGTTTTACTGTTCACTGTGCAATTTCCGATTGCTATTCATAATTTTGTCCAGTTTGTGTTTATCTCTTAATAAACAGGTAAGTTTGTTGTTACCAAGCATTGTGTTTTATTCAATCTCACCTAATTTAGCTGGCTAGATGTTCTCAAGAGTACTAAAACCCTTTTCAACATGAGTCTTACAACTAAGGCTAAATACTTTAACTTAAACTTAAATACATGCTCGGATAGGCTGGTATCGGCCAGTATCGGTATCGGATCGGAAGTCCAAAAACAATATCGGTATCGGATCGGAAGTGCAAAAACCTGGATCGGGACATCTCTAGTGTCTATTGTCCAGATTTATACAAAATATTGTTTCCCTTAATACTAGAATGGACACACAAACATGAGCAGTGACATCATAGTGCCAAAAAAAAAAAAAAACACCCACTGTCTGGTTAGCATGCTTTCTTTCCTTAGGGAAGGAAAGATTATTTATCAAGCATATTTCATTAGCAAGATAATTCAAAGTGTTGTACATAAAAAAACATAAAAGGAAAACAGAGAAAAGTCCATTGCAGTGGCTTAGAGGTAATTAGATAATTAAGGAATAAAAGTGATTAATTAAATGATAAAATATTTAATAACATAATAAAATGAATGAAAGTTGGACTACACATTTTAACTAATAACTTTACATAGCACAGTCAAAGGTCACTCTAAACAAATGTTTTTTTTTTTTAGACTAAAGCTTCTTCACAGTTTTCTGGGGTTTTTTTCATATTAGTGGAGCATGCGAAAAAGTAATACTTTAGTTCCGTTTTAATTTAGATTAAGAATATTTTGATGCATCAGTTTCTTTTATGCATTTACCTAAGACTTGAATGGGTCCATATGGTCACCTGGTTACATGTAACATAGAGGTGTGTGTCATCTGCATAGTTTGGGTAACTGAAGTTGCTGTTTATTATAATCTAAGTTAAAGGGGAACTCCGTTTTTTTTTACATTGGCCCCTTGATTTTACGTTATTACATCATGTTCTACTCACCCATATATAATTATAATAATAATATAAATATAAATAAAAAAAAACACGGATGTCTGGGGAACAGTGATTCTCCTACATGTTATGAATGCCTGCGTACCATAAATGATAAATTATGAACAGTTCAGTTTGTGCCTTGAAGTCGTTGCCCACAGGAAGACGTTACTTGGATATAACCTAAGGGAATCTTCAGAACAGCTCCAAATGACACAAAACTCATATGGGTGAGTAGAACATGATGTAATAACGTAAAATCAAGGGCCCAGTGTAAAAAAAATGGAGTTCCCCTTTAAGGTTAGCATGTAGATATTAAACAGCGCTGTGGAGCGCCACATGTGGTTTTGTTGTCTCTGATGAAAACTTACCTACTGACACAAAGAGGTCCTGTCCTTCAAGGAGTTAAACCAGTTAAGTACTGTATCAGAAAGGCCAGCCCAGTTATCCTGGTGCTCTAGTAAAATGGACTGATGAACAGTGTTGAATGCTGCTCTAAGGTCCAATAATATCAGCATTGTGGTTCCTTCATAGGAGACATTTATATGGTTGTCATCAAACACCCGGAAGGGCTTTCTCTCTACTGTGCTGAGCAGGGAAGCCAGACTGGAAGACATCGAAGTATTATGTAGCACTGGTCTTTTCATTCTGGGATGTTTATTTGACAGTGGCCATGTGATCCTTTCATTGCTTGTATGTCATTATTTTGCGCATCCTTAAGGCAGCAGTATTCTGCAACAACTGTGAGTAAATAGGACTGCTATGTGGAGAAGAAGCAGACAGAGGAGATGTGAAAGAGACTTCTCTCTTCAAATGAGAGAATGAAGATTTAACCAGGACCTATTGCCTAAGATGACTTAAAGCCAAAAACAGGCGAGGAACTTCTGCCAAATGGATCATTTCAACAAACCCTGACAGCCTGTCAAGGTCATTCTTTCGGTTTCTGAACTTAACGCCACTAGGCTTTCGCATCATCTTTCTAGACAGGATATGTGAAACCTTTTTTTTAAGAATGAAGCAGTTTGGCTTTTTAAAAAATATATCTTTTCATACAAAAAAAAAAAAAAAATAAAAAAAAAATATATATATATATATATATATATATGACGTTTATATATATATATAAGACTTATATATGTATATATATATATATATATATATATATATATATATATATATATATATATATATATATATATATATATATATATATATATATATATATATATATATATATATATATATATAGGTTAGTAGTTAAAAAAGAAAGGACAAAATTAAGCTTGATTGCTAGGTTAAAGAACATTACAGTCAAACATTGGTTTTATTTTTCAGACTGTATCTATGAAATAATAGTAGGGTTAGGGTTAAACTGAAGAGTACAGTCTGGTAAATAAGACTCGAAAATTGATAAGTAATCAAAGCAGCCCTGATTATTTCTATTTTATGGATTTGTCCTTTAATGTTGGCCTTAAAATTGTTCTTAGGATTGCTTTCAGAGGTATTATTAAACCAATAATGGCCGATGCTTTTACACATATAATCGCATTTGATATAGCCCCATCTTAATACCAACCCTGTTTGTTAATATCTCAAAAGATTTATATGCATAACTAAAAGCCAGAGGTTGTTGCTTCCAGGCTATATTCTTCATAAATTCTAGACTTGTTTTGGTTTACAATTTTGCTCGGTCGGTCCGTGACTTGATGTTTGCAGTGATTTTTTTCCATCATGGGTTTATTTAAACAAGCCTTGAGCATTCGGTTAATTCCACTCTGTTGTGGTGCTTGAGGCGCACAGGGCTTGCTATGTTGCGCTGTTATGCATGATATTGCTGCCGATTGTTGTCACTATTCCTAGCAGTAGGTTTGCGTTTGCAGCCTCTGCCCTGACCAGAGATTATTTCTCCTCAGTGTTATTCAGCTGCGCAGGGTGCATTTGAGTGCATAAATACAAATGCTATGACTCTGAAGTTGTTCTATGGAGCAGATGCTTCATGTTTTTGGTCTGTAAAGACCCGGTGAGGCATAGACATCCTGCTAGTCCACATGGAATAAAACATGGTGAATAGGCGCACCCTTTAAATCTCAGGGTCTTGCTAGTTTCTACATTGGTTTTAGAAAAATATAACACTATTTAGAAGCAGTTTCTCCAGTACCAACATAGTTTATACATAATGAGATCGAGGTTGCCTCTCAGCAGGAGGTTGTGGAATTAAATTTTTTTCAGTGTTCTGCTGAAAATAGTGGACATACGCATAGTAGGGAAATACTTACAGGGCCTTAAGGGGAGATTTCAAAGAGGAAACAAGAAAGAAGATGGTTCTTCTAAAAAGTGATGAAATTAATCAGATGTGTGAACCTAGAAGTTATTTAGGGGAAACCTCCTCCTCCTCCTATGGTGAGTTTTTAACCAGGTACAGTTAGTTTTTTTTCCACTGTATGAAATCATACCATATAGCCAATGAAAAGGTAATTTGTTTGATTCATTCATTAATCAAATGTATTTAAATTATTTTGTGTAAAAGATGATACAGGCAAAGGAGAAACCCCCCAAACTTCATGCAGAAAGAACCTCAGCTGGGAGTGAACCCACACTGGAAAAAAATCCAAATCTAGATAAGTAGTTTTTTCTTAAAATAAGTGCATTTGTTCTTGGATTGAGGAGGTAAAAGGGACTTTTTGCCAATGGAACAAGACAATTTACATTTAAAATAAGAAAGCACAATTGCATTGTATTATTCCAGGTTCATGTTATCCAATTAATCTTATTTTAAGAGTAAAAATACTAATTCCATTGGCAAACTATCTCATTTACCTACTCAAATTAAGGGTAAATACACTTAATTTAAGACATGTTTACTTATTTCTAGATAGTTTTTTTCAGTGCAGGACGTTCTTGCTAAAAGGAAACAATTGCAACAGCCCCTCCCCCTATGTACGCTTAACTAATTAGTAATTATAATTTACTCTAACAGACACTGAAAAAACAAAGAGTATTTTCTTCTTATGTTGCTAAAAAGATATATAGAGTAATTTTTTTATGTTTACCAAAGTATTGAGGCTAAAAATAATAAAAGTTCTTTAAATAAACACATCAGATGACATCCAGAGGCTTGCTTTCTTCCACATAAACAGTGCCGGCGCTTTAATATTTCACAGTGTCCTCACTTCCAGAGTCAATATGGTATCATTTTAGTATTTAGCTTAGACTTGTTTGTCGGTTCATATATAGTCCTTTGTGAAAGTACTCATACTCTTATACCTTTTCACATTTTGTTACCATACTAGCTTAAATGTAATCAATCAGCTTTTTCACAAGAATAAAACGATCAATGATTTTTAAGATGATTAACATTTTTTACCGATAATTCATTTGTATCTATCAGTAATATATTCTGTAAAATTATACTTTAAAAAACATTGCAGAAAAACCTTTTACTGCAGCTACAGCTGCAAGCATTTAGAGGTGTGTCTCTATCAATTTTCTATATCTAGATACTGGATGCTTTGCCAATTCTATTTTTATAAAATAACAGAACTGGTCCGAAATATATGACAAAATATAAATATAAAACAATATACGGTATAAAAAAAAAAAAAAATATATATATATATATATATATATATATATATATATATATATATAAATATAAAACCCTATTTTGGGTTGCTGTTATGTTCAAAGGTAAATCTGTGCTCAGGTCTCATTTGCAGCCTCTGATAGATTTAAATATTGACTATTCTGAGCTCCATCCATCTTGACCTCATCTTCCCTCTCTCTACAAAATACAAGCATCCTCACAGTTTGATACAGCAACCACTTTGTTACACTGAAGTGAAGAAGAATTCAGGATGATGGAAAGTGATGTTTTGCCTCACATAATGTTTTGCAAATTGTGGGTTTTGTAAAAACACCTTCTTCTTTTAAGTTTTTCCTATTATTCTTTTCACTTTCCCAGGACCTCTAGTGTATCCTGTCAGCAGAATATCCCAACTCAATTCTGAAAGCATTATTCTCTGAAAAATCTCCCCTTTCCTGGCAGTCTAAAACTGAATTACACTTACGCAGTGTGTTTACTAATTTGGTCAATTGTTGTTTTTTATTCATTTATGCATATCATTCAATTTTATGTAAAAGTGTAAGAGTAAAGAGGGTTCATTATAGACCCATACTTGTTATGGGGTTCTCATCTATTTCCAACTATATACATTAATATGTCCTCAGCAAATGTAAATCCCAGAAATGAGCCAAAACTGACTTTTATTATCTACTCATCAAATTTGAACTTTATACTTTTTTTTCTAAGTGCTTATGTTCTTTTGAGCTGCTTGTGTGCTTTCACCTTCAGGGTCTTCTGTTGCAAGGCTCCCTACCTGAGGAGGACCAGGACGGATCGGGGAGCTTTGGAGACAACAGAGCAACCACGGAGCAGCAGCTGGTATGGTACAGCTCTTCTAACTTGAGAAGGCATCACTTGGTCAACAATCTTGTGTGAAGTGTCCATGTCAGGCCTTCTCCTGTGATGATGTTTGCACCCATCACTCCCTTCAGGGCAGCTGCTGGAGAGTGCCGATTAATTCTCTCTGATCTGCTAGCCCGCTGTCACGCGTTTTTATTGCCTCTTCATGCGTTCTGACATTTTTCCGTTCTCTAATTATCGTGCCCATGGACTCTTCCTTTGAAGGTTCTAATCCGCAGTCGTCTGGACCAAAGCATGGAAGAAGCCCTTGATCTGAAGGTACAGTGAGTAAACGTAATTGGAATTAATATAGATGAGCTTTTTTTCTTTAATGAGTGTGTTCATGTGTGTGGCTCACAGAGGGAGCTCCTGAGGCACAAACAGGAGACAAGACATATTCAGGCCATCAAGGTAAATCTCTTAGTTCAGCTTTTTACTTATGAGACTAAAACGGATTACAGAGCATAAGTCGATTTATTTAATTTTGTATGGTATAAATCTGAGGATTTAGTAGTTTTTGATCATGCACACAAAGAGATACTCCAGTAAGGATTTTCGGAAAATGCTTAGTTTTAGTTTTAATTAGTTTCAGTTATAGTTTAATTCTTTTATGTAATACGACTTAGGTACCGGAGGGAGAGACTTTAAAGAAAGATAATAAGAATAAAACCTAAATAGGAACAGACCTCTGCTGTAAAAAAAAGTCACATGATTGTCCTATACCTACTATCTGCGAAAAGCAAAAGCATCAACAGGACACTTGACCTCATTAATGCATAATGATAAAGACACAAACAAACACAGACGAAATTCTCTCTTAAAATGAGTTAGTTTTCATTATTTTAGTCAACTTTGTTTTACGGTTTTAGTTCGTTTTCGTGTTTTTATAAGTCCTAGTTTTTAGTTTTATTTTTAAAAATTTTAGTTTTCCTCATTTTGTTAGTTTAAGTTAATGATAATAACCGTGAGAAGGACATATATCTAGTTCTCTTTAAAGCCCTATTTCTATTTGTTTATAACAGATACCATGTAATGAAAAAGTGTTTGTCCCTTTACAGATTTCTTCTACTTTATTGAACATTTATTAAATTTCCCAGTCAGTCTTCGCAAAAGGCCATTCCCATTCAGCCTGGTTCTGTTGGAGGTTTCTTCCTGTTGAGGGGAATTTTACTTTCCACTGTCACTTAACGCTTGCTTGGTATGAGGGATTGCTGCAAAGTATGCAACACAATGTAGGCACTTGTCACTAAATGCTCATGCAGGAGAAATAAATGCTTAAATTCACGAGCTAGATGCAATCCATTGGGTTTCTTTACATACAAAATAAAAATAAATAACTCTAATAATCTGCCTGTGGGATCTGATATAATGAAGTTTGCAAAGATCATTGGGATCAAATGTCTTTTCATTTAACATTTTACTTAAATGCTTTAGACCCGCTAACTAAATTAAATGTTAGACAAAAACATTCTTTAAAAAAAAGGCAATTCATTTATTCAGAGAAAAACGTTATCCATACAACCTGGAGATAAATTAAAAGTAATTGCCACCTAAAACTAATAACTGGTTATGCCATCTTTTTCATCTTGGCTCACTTTTTTCTTTTAATTCATCCACAGTTGAGTATTTTGAACATTCATGACCATTTAAGGGTGTTTTTAGTTTTGCCATTGTTGCGGCTGTTTGTCAAGACCTGGACCGCATCATTTCATAAACCATTTTATGTGTTTTAGCCATTCGGAGGGGATTTGTTGCTACATAACTCAATGAGCTAGAATTTAAAACCCTTCAGTTTACTACCAGTGATGAAAATGTATGGTTCCAGTATTTACAGCAGGCAGTTGCAGTCATGTAATGAGGTAGGTTTACTGTTGTTGAAAAGGTTTAGCACTGTTTCATGTTTTCTGTGTTTGTTTTTTTCACTATGGCTCTGAAGAATTGGCTTTTTAACCATTTCTGGGCTGGTGATTCAGTGGTCAGTGACTTTGTTTCCCATTTGTCCTAATTTCTTTCAATTCGACTCTTTCCAATGGTTTTGAGAACTTTAAGCCTACTTTATGTTGTTGGGTAGATTCAATTCAATTGTTTTCAGGCCAACATTGGCCTGAAAACTGGTGGCTAGTTAATTTGTCTTCAACCCTTTGCAAAGTTAATCACACTTAAACATGATTCAGCATATGGGATGTTTATGTTTTTCAAATTTGCAATCAATTCAGCTTTTAACAAATAAATCCAGTTATCAAATGAAAGCTGCCTCCTGTGTTTACTTAGGTTATGTTTGTCTGATTGAAATTTGTTGACAAATGTTAATAGGAAAAAGAGGAAAACTAATGAACTTAGTAAAAGGGACAAACTATTTCTCTACACAGAGGAAAAAAATATGCTACATTTTACATTATGTAAAGATAAGACAAAAAATATAGAGGAAATTATTCTCTTATCGTCAGAATAGATTTTTATTGAACTTAAGATTTAGATTGATTCCAATCACTTTTCACTAGTTTGTCGGATCTAAACACGTACACAATTAGTTTTAATTCATTAATAATAAAGTGAACAACAGTGCTTAGGGTTGATGAGATGGATACGATTGGCCTGCCTTTGTGTGGTGACCTCTTTGATCTTCCCATCTTTCTCATTAGGATGCCCTGCAGCAGCGCCTGTCAGTGCAGGAGGATGCTGTGCTGCAGCTTAAGCAGGAACTACTGAGGTGCAACATGACCAAAGATCAGTTAGAAGGAGAAAATGTGAGACAAGACATGATTTCCTTCTTGACTTAAAAACATTTCTTTCTAGGAGTCTGGTATACGTGAAAGAAATATTATATTCATAGAGCTAACCCTATCCCACTTTGCCTCCCTCCAGGAAGAGCTCAAACGCAAGCTGAGTGAAAGGAACAAATTACTCACTGAATATGAGGTAAGTCTTTCATTATTTACATTGAAATGTGTGTTTTTTGGGTTTTTTTTTTATAACACATGCACGGGTCAACACTTGGTTCTATATTTCAACTGTTTTTTTTTCAAAGCAGCAGCAGCTGGGGAAGAAGGACAGATTGCTGCAGCATCAGAAGCTTGATGAAGCTCAGCATAAAGCACATGAAGTCGGCCACGGACGGGTACAGAGCATTACATGGTTATAGCATTACAGCAGCGCAATCATTGCCTCAATATGAATAAATGTAACAATAATCAGAGAGCCTTTCTTCAAAGCACGGCTACTTTTCACATGAGGGGGCCAACATTATTCTTATCATATCAACAAATCACTTGATGCAACATAACCACTGATGCATTTAAACAGCCCCATGCGCTGAAAAACAAGGCTATTTTTCTTCAAGTAGTTCAGCATTGTAGGCTACATACACCAACATATACAACAAGTTTTTTTTTTTTTTTGAGCAAGATTGTGAAAAACTCTAAATCTACAGAATTCTTGAGTAGGCGTATTTATTGTGATTTCAAATGTAACATGTTGCACAACAAACTGAGTCACTAATGTGTTTAGAAAAGGTTTTGACAAGAAGAAAGCTTTTAGTTGGAGAAAGATGCTTCTTTAGCAGTGTTTACCTACTATTAACATCAGAGGTTTACATAAACATGTCATTGGGATGAATACATTCCCAGTTTAGTCATTTAATAATTTTTTTTATTTTGCTGTTTTTGAGTATGGAATGCCAATGTAATTTCAATGACATTTAGTGCTTAACTTGAATTACTGCGGATTTTATTGAGTCTTAAATTCACAAACAGGTGGTAAAATGCATAAAAAACCTATAATATTAAATATTGGCTATTTGTTTATTACCAACTCATCATTACGCAGATTTTGTTTTTCCAACAAGCTTCCAAAACATTTCTGGATGGTTATTCAAGCTCTTTTTATTAGGAGCAAAACAGAACTGGTTTTCTTGCATTGCCTTGGGTTTGCAGTAGTCCACAAGATTTTCAATAAAATGCCAGTCCCATTCTAAGAGCTTTATTTTATCCCACTTCATCCATTCCTAAAACAGTGATGCGTGGTTAAGATATATATCCTGTTTATTTTTAGATTTGGGGTGAAGTGAAAGATTTGAAGGACAACCTTGTTTTTTATTATACCCTCCACTTTTTACAATACACCAGCAATGAAATAGCCACTCACTATGATGCTATCTCTTCCATGCGTTCCCTGGTTAAGAGATTCTCATCCCTCCAAATATAGGAAAGTATCTTTGATCTTCCAGCATCTTTGGAGTTATAGTTGTAAGTAGAATTTGTCTTTGTTAGTCCAAACAGTTTTCTTTCATGTGAGGGTGACAGTTCCGGTCTGATGGTAGATACAGGACAATTATGCCGACAAATCACTTTAAACCTTACATCCAAATACATATGCAGCAGCAATGTTCTGCTTCCTGAATTGCTCTGCCAACAGTTTCCTGATCTCTGCAGTATTGAAAAACCTTACCGGTTAAATTAGCCACTCTAGTGCTACTAATAAAGAGTGTTAAAATATCCAACCAGAAATATGCCAGTCGTTTACTGGAACATTTAGACAAATATGATAGGATTTATTACATAGAATATTTACACCGTGTGTCGGAGAACATAAAAAAAGGCCCTTAATTAATATTGCATTGAAAAGGAGAGTATTTAAACATCTACATTTACTAAAGTTAATCTTTTTATTAATTCACTATTTTATCTTTATTCATGTATCCAGTCATTTAGGGGGGAAAATGGTGGCTTTAGTAACTCAGTGGCATTGACTTCTCCTTCAACGTTTCAGCACAATGCATCCGTATGTATCATTTTTTACATTTTTTATTTTTCATACAAGACTGATGTATAAAAGTTTGTTTTTAGTGACACAGAAATTTTAAGTTCAGTTGGTGATGCTTAAGCTATCTCTTAGGAATAGAGAAAGTTGGGGGGGGGCGGATATCAAAGCCAGTTATTCATAAAACTGAATAAACAGATTGGGTTTAGTTAAAGACTGCTTCCGATCCACCATAAGAAAGACTTACGTATGGTGGATTTTAACTGGCTACTATATTGCTTTGAAGAAAATGGGGTTAATAAGTTATTTAATTGAAATTCCTTTAGAGATGAATGCAGTATTTTAAAATGTCCTTGAATTACACATAAAAGGCTAGACTTAAGCTTAGATACAGTACCCCATGCATTTTCTAAAAAAATACATTTTATTTAATTGGATGTGCTTTTAATTGTTAGAACGGTGTTTAAAATTAATTTTTTTTTAAATTGATTTCCTCTTTGAGGTTACATTTTTGTGCATTGATACTAAATACAGTCAAGTCCAACATTAGTTGTATCCCTGGCAGGTTTACATTGTTAAAAGTATTCAAATTCAGAAAAGAAGTATCAATGAAAAAACGGAATCAAAACAACATTATGATCTATTTATGCTTATCTCAATCATAAAATGAAGCCCCTCTTCTAATTGCTGACTAACCTTTTGCATCTATTGATTGGTTTGTCTTTGAAACGGGAATGCCTCTTCGCCATCACCCTAAGCTTTATACAGATCCTCTATCAGTTTTAGCCACAGACTTTGGCTAAGTCACTTAAAAATATCAATGTTTAGTCCAAACAAACATGTTTAAGATGAATCGGTCATGTCAGGGCTCAGGTGTAAATGAACTAAATTTAACTAAATACACATTACCAGTCTTACAAGGCTGTTTTTTTTCACAGGGCGAAGAGCTCCAGCTCGTCAGGGAAGCCCTGCGCAGTCTGAGGGACAGTTTCTCAGGCCATGACCCTCAGCATCACACCCTGGACACTTTAGAGCAGGGTATTGCCAGCCTCATGGACCGACTCCACTCCTTGGACACTCAGCGAAGACAAGAAAGACGGGTACTCACAGATGCACACAGTGACTCTGAAATGTTAGAAATGTTGGAACTGTTTACCAGGAGTAATTGGTTCTTCTTCCAGGAGGAATTTAAATCACCAGGACGCAGAGCCAACTCAACAGACCGTGACTCCTGGCCACCAAGCTCAAGTGAGACAAGCAAAACCTTTGTATTCTGTTCAGCATTTGGAATCCCCAGTAACATCTTACTTAAATCAAATTGTCTCCTTCAATTACACTGTTGTGAATGGAGAACGGATAACCAGCTGTGAGGCCACAATCATTACTGTCTGAAAAAGTTTGTCATCATTTTGCAGAAATGGCGCACTCACACAGTAGCCCGGGTCTTGACGCTGTCGTCTCTACTAAAGTTCTCTACTTTACTGATCGCTCGCTTACTCCTTTTTTGATTAACATCCCTAAAAGGTAAAATAAAAAGTTAACAATATTAGATCTTTGTTGCAGCGCTTAGTTATTTGCTGTAGGAAGATATATTTTTATATTCTTATGTTTTTTAACTGTTACCAGAGTTAAAGCCTGATTGAGGCATGACCAGAGCTTTAAAAGGGTTATTCAGCTGCTTATCCTAGAAAAGCTTCATGCTTATGGGGTGTATGCTTGTATAGATTATAACTGAGTGTTTGTATATTTACAGGCTGGGTGAAGTGACACTGCGGGACTTTAAAGCTGCTGTAGACAGACAAGGCAATTTCAGATATCACTTTAAAGCCCTTGACCCTGAGTTTGGCACAGTGAAAGAGGAGGTAGGTCACTTATTTTAACACCATTTTGAGTTGTAATAATATTAATAAGAAAAACCAAAGTGCATTAGGAGGAATAATTGTATCTCTTTAATTCTGTCACATTTTATCAGATTAAAAAGAAACATCAATGCATTTTTGGGGATTTTATATATAAAACCAACCTGAAGATGGGGAAAAAAAAGAAATATATGATGTAGATTCCTTAATATCTCTTAAATTTGCCTCCATTTCCCTTCATTTCTACGTAAAACTCAATAGAACCAACAACCATCAGAATTAACCTGATTTTTACATTTCTATGACCTCAGTAGGTGTGACTTATGAGTATTTAAGGGTTATGCCGATCATTATTGAATCTAAAGATTCAATTTTAAAACATCTAAAACAATCAGTTAGAAAGGTGTTGCAAGCAGACACATCCTGCCTGTTAAGGACAACAAATGACTTACTATTGTGAGGCCTTCTCTGTCGCAAAGATGCATTTGCTGCAACACAGAGTCACTCAAGGTGAAACTTAATATTCTATAAGCAAGTCCTCCAATATTCATTAGAGAACATTAGCAAACAAAAAGAATCATGAAGAACAAGGAAACAAAGCAGACCATCCATCTTTCTGAATCGAAAAGTATGGCCGAAAATGCAAATTACCAAGACCTAAAAAAAAAAACAGCTGGGAAACAACAAAGGGCATTGATTTTAGAAACAACCTGGTCCATGGTTACTGGGGAAGCTTCAGAAACCAACAGCTCAGGTGGGAGAATAGGTTGAAAGTAGAGCTATGGGCTCTCCTACCCATAGCAAGTGAGCCCATAGCTCTACTGTTATAGAATCTGCAGAGAGGAAGTTGAAAGGAAGACCCATTTTTTGTAGTGTGGTACAAGAGACAGAAATCATATGGAAGAAGGTACTCTGGTCAGAGGGGAAAAAAACTGAATGTTCTGCATATGGCAAAATGAAAACCTGACTGAGCACACTACAGAGGTGGCTGTATCCCCATGGGATACTGTCTGGTCTCAGCAGGGACAATTAAGCTGGTCAGAGCTTAAGGGAAATGTCTGGGGGGGAAAAAAACCCATACGAGTTTGTGATTGTTGAAAAAGTTCAATGGTTAAAGATTTTTCCTTTGTGTTGTACATTAAGTAAATGCTTTTTATTTGGTTCCCCAGGTGTTCCAGGATGGAGCAGTGGTCCCTGGCTGGGAGGGGAAGATTGTGGCATGGGTGGAGGAGGACCACGGAGAGAGGAGGTAGAGCTCAGAGCACCAGAGATCGCCACCTCAAACCTCATCATCCCTACCGGATCAGAACTTTTACTAAAAACAATCTGTCATGCCATATAAAAAAAAAAAAAAAAAGCTGTTAAACAATAACTGGGACCAAGGGAGAGACCATCGTTCATCCGCAGCAATGTTTTAAAAGTGAATGTTTCATACCCAAAAAAATGTCTCAGCATTTTTTGCTACTATTTTATTTAATAGAATTGAATGTTGCTCATAATTTCCTGCTTAAAGAATAACATTCAGCTACAATATCAACGGCCAGTAAAACAGTGATACTTGAAGCTTTTAACTTAAAAAAAAGTTGTATTGGGTGCAGACCTCAAATTGCAGTGTTTACTGACATTTTACACAAAGTTCCACATTGCCAAAAAGTTTTGGTGTTGTTCTGTTGTTTCAATAAACATAACTTATTGCATGAAATGTATTTTTGACATTTATTCCACCTTTAGTGGTTTCTGAACACTACTGACAGATTGTTATTACTGTCAATAACATTTTTTTTAGGGGAAGTTGGTGGAAGGGGGGTTTAGATTGAATGTGTTTCTGAGCACCAGACTACGCAGTGGGAAAACTTTACACATTTGTCTAAAAAACACCCTGAAAATAGATCAGTTTACAGGCAGGATGTTTGATTTTTAGTTTGAAGCAGGGCATATGTTCCCACACAGCATGCACTCTTTATTCTGAATGTTGTTGTTTTTTTAACCACACTCTTTTAAGGTGTTTTTGTTATACGAGTTCACTCCTTGCATGTGTGACGGTGCGAACCCTCTACCTTTTCTCTTAAAATTAATTGGTCACAAAACATCTGCTGTCAGCGTAAGTCTCCTCTTCTTCTTGTAGAAAACGGCGGATGCTGTGTCCTCGTTGACAGTTTTTGGAAACTCCAGGAGCAAATAATAAACATCCTCCACTTGCAGAACAACATCCTCCTGTAAAGCCCAAATATATTCAGGAAGTGGTAAGACTCAGCGTGAACCAATTATGTATTTCATATGACATCCAGGGATGCAGTGAAGCACAGTGGAATCAAAGCGGTTCATTATAAGTGTTCAGAGGAGTGTGCAACCACTAACCTTGGATATTCTCAGCTGGCACTCTGACATGGAACGAACCTTTGGCAGGTCCACTGTCAGCTTCACGCTGCGAGGAACTCCTGCTGCATCAGTCTTCACCTCGAGCAGATACTCTGGCTCCTGAGGCCCCTGGAAAGTGCTGGAAATGACCTGGATCAAATCGTTCTTTATGTGCTCCACGGGTCTGCAAATAATTTGGACTTTGCTGTCCTCCTCTTGTGCCCCTGATTGTTGAGAGGAGATCCGTTGTAGGAGGGAAGCTGGGGTCTGACCGGCTGTGAATGAGAGAAACTGGTGGGAGGACACAGACAAAACGCCCTCACAGGAAGGGAGCAAAGGCCTTGATAAAGAAGTCTGCAACAGCTTATCAGAACAAGAGGTCTATTTACCTGTTTCCAGTTTGGAGGTTGGAGGCTTCTGAAAGCCGAGTCGACATCGTAAGTCATCACGGTTACTGTTTGGACTACAGCTGACAATGCTGTACTCTGCAGATAACAACATCCTGTGCTGTTGCTGGGCAAAACTCAGAGCCAGCTTATAGATATCATTAATATCTGCTTTATCGTCCTTCCTCTTCTGTAGCACAGCGGGGTTTAATGCCACATCCAACACAGCAAGCCATCCTGCAGGGTTAAGAATCTTTAAGTACCTCGCACTATAAAGCAACACAATGACAGTTGTGCAGCTTACAACCAACTTGGTCTTCTGGCTTGATGGTTTCTAGTTTTCCGCCATATAAGTGTGGAGAACAGCTCAGATTCTGAGGTGCAGGCACTCGTTTCCAGCTGCAAATATTAATATAAAGCCAACCTGGCTTTGGTTCCTGACAAGGACACAGATGTGCTCTGTCATTGTACGACTAGAATATGATACATACAGTGCCAGTAAAAGGTTTATATAGACCTGGCATAAAAACCACATGGTATAAATGTACAGCTAAATATGAATTAAAAAAATTATTACACGAGAAACATTTCTTTTCTTTGAAAAAAAAAAGTGATACTAAATTAAGATTTTTCTCTCTTCAATTACACATACAGGTTCAAATATATAGCCATCTACCATTTGGACCATGCACACACTTTCTGAAGCCACAAATAATGTACATTTGGTGGGACATGTCGGCAATAGTAGAGCTCGTTTAAACTCCCTAAATATTCACAGAATTCAGGTCTGACTCATTCTACGTGTTAGCCTCATCTATTCCAGAACCAGTTTTGATGCATTTAGGGTGGTCTGATTACTGTCCTTGAAATGTTTTAAACATCCTTGTTGCTTATTAGAAGGTAAAACAAAGAATTTGGTAATTCTCTTTTCTTAGCAATATTCTCTCAACTTTATGCAAAACGACAGGTACACTTTTCATTACCATGATGCTGTCGCCTCACTGTAGGTGTTGACTTAGGTTGAAAAGACTGATCATTGCCGCTAATTATACTTTTTTTATGTAGACTAAATTGTTAATTCTTTGTCTCCTTTTGAAAATAAAACCATAAAGTAAATATCTTCCAATTACAATCTAACAATTACGATTTCTAACACTGAGAAGTTTGTGTATACAACATGTTAAGTGCCCATATTTCAAAGAAATGCATGGGAAAATTAATTTAAATATACATGATATTGAATTCTGATCTCATTTTAAAAAAAAGTTTTAAAACTGACTGCCAAGCACCGAGTAATAATGACCTACACCCTTGATGTGCTCATTCCTCTTGAAACAGTGTAGATTGACGCTAAGGTTCTGGTGCCTTTCGGCCACCCCTATTAGGCCCCTATTTCTGGCTACGCCTCTGAATGGAGTCATTCTGAGGAAGCACATCTGGAAATGTTTGCCCTCCAAAAACTGTTTGCCCTCCATAAACTCACCAGTATCTGGGTTCGCACACACGAGTGGAGCTCAGGCGGCGCGTTGAATTCAGCTCCTCTCTTCATCTGCTCCTCTATGAACCTGCTGTATGCTACAGGGTCGTTTTCGGACAGATCGTCCAGCATGGACCAAAACTGGCTGACCTGCTGTAAAACATGCCTTCCGCCGTTGGATGACATCATACCAGCTTTTATCTTTGAAGTTTATTTTCTAATGCTGGGAAACCTGACTGTTTATAAAGTAGTCAGCATGTATCTATAGTCTTTTCAACTTTATGTGCACAGCTGCGTTAATGTTGTTAGTTGCCACGGCAACTAGATCAAACTATACCACGGTCGCCCCTTGGCGGTAGGAAGGTGTTATTGCAATAATCACAACAATGCTTTTAAAGCGCTTTAATTCACATTGTTACATAAAAAATACATTGTTTATAATCTTTCTCTCATAATCTGTGCATCAGTTAGCTGACATATAAATGAAACATAAAACACAGCTGTAGTATGCAAATATCCTCTTCGTTTTTGCGCGGCTTGCTCTCAGTAATTCTGCAAAGACAAAGAGTGGTTGTTAGCAGTATGTAAACCACAATTATGTTTAATTGTAAATTGAAAAGCATGATAGACTGAAGTCTGTGATGACTGTAATTAGGCATCCATTGTTTGAACCACGGCAATGTTTACAGTAACTTTAATCTTTTTTATTTATTTAACAGTTATACATGTCATAGTATTTTTAGGGGATAGACTGTATTATAAACTCAACATCTCAATAACTCCTACAGCATACTTCTAAAATGATAGAATGTTTATATATGAAGCAAACATGTTTTCACTGTTGTGAGCATATGTATTCTGCTGGACCCTGCGCAAACATCTCCCTTTAAAAGTCAGTAAGAAGAGTGCACATGTGTGTAACTTTATCTTTATATAAATATAACCATTCTTTACAGGGTTCAAATGTTTGTAAGATAGCAGTAGTGAGCAAGCAGTATCATAAAGGCCAGGGGTCAGAAATTTATTAATGCAAGGTTTTACAGCATGGTTCAATGATTGATGTCCCAAGGTTTGAAAAAAATAATGGAGTATTCTTTAATATCTCCCCAAAATGGAAACAAAATACCTCAAATGTACACCTACCAAAATATTGGCTTTAACTTAAACTATCTTACTGCACAAGTGATGCATTATTCAGAGAACCAAGAGGCTTGTGGCGATGATCCATAACTCAGATGGTTAAAGTACAAGTCTTGCACTCCAAAGATATTTTTTTTAATGAAGAGGGGGAAGAAGCACGTGGATAATAGCAGCAGTAGTTGTAGAAAGCAGACCTGAAGAAGTTATATTTTCCTGTTTGTCATAATCTATGGAGACATGGAAAAAGATGGTCTAGCTAGATGAGACTGAGGGTGATATCCTGGGTTACTTATTTGCTGCTCCCAGGAGCAACTAAACACACAATCCCACTGTTAAATACATTGGAAATGGTTTCATAATGAATTGGCAAAAATTTAGCATTTTCAAAGCTGGTAGACACACATTTATGCACAAATGTTTGCAGCCCTACCCGATACAAAGTGTGATTTTATTATCTGTTCTATCAGAGTGGTTGAATACAAAAGCATGCCATATGTTTCAGGTTTACTTGTAAAATAGCAATAATATCATATTAAAGTCGAGCATAGCTGCAGAAGCATTGAAAACAAGATATACTATATTAATAAACAGACTTTTAAGGACAGTTGTTTGAAAGTTATTATGTCTAAGTGATCATAAAGGGAGCTGAATACAAATGTTTGTATTTTGGCTTGCTGTATGTTGGGTTTCATTAAATAAATCTCAATGATGCATTATGAAGATGGGAAAATTCCAAAGGGTATGATAACCTCTAAGATTACGTAACTATCCATGTAAACTTGTTAAAAAATGTCCACCTCAGTCATGTCATAGATCCAGTCCAAGAATTCAGCCACTTTAGTGTAAACCCCAGGATTGTTTGGCTCAGCGCAGCCTGTTCCCCAGCTCACCACTCCGGCGAGCCTCCACAGATTTTCATCTGGGCAGACCAGAGGACCCCCACTGTCCCCCTGATGAGGTACACAGAGAAACACTTTACTACAACCATAAATAAATGTGACAACAAGGGGTAAATCTTTAATAGCTTTCTAAAACACTACTTTTCAGTAGATGCATCCAACCTGGCATGCATCCACTTTTCCTTCGGTGTATCCAGCACAGAGCATCCGTGGAGTAATTTCTCCGTTATACATGCAGGAGCTGTTGCATCTCTTTGTGGTTATTATAGGAACTGGGGCTTCTTTCAGGGTGGCAGGTGAGTGAACTGAAAGAGGAAACGTGCATTTAAAGGCTGCCCTGTCAATAAAGGTGTTATGCTCTGTCACTATGTTAAAGCGTGGGTTGTAGGAGTAAAATGTAGGTCAGGTGCGTTGCAACAATTTACCACCATCAGGCTGTGTGTATCCCCATCCGGAAATCCAGCACTGTGTGCCACCTGGGAGATCATAGTCATATGGAGGCAAGCAGATGGGTCTAATTGTATCTAGATTAAAAGATGAAAAAACATTTTACTTCTTAACGACACATGTTGATGTAGTTTTAGAGATTTGTACTCTAATGGCTACACTCATTGACTGATTTACAAAGTCGGAGCATGCAAACGCAAGAATCTTGGAAAAGTGTCACGATCCCCAAAAAAAAGCAAAAAATATAGGAAAAAAACTCCTCACTGTGCTAATTCCAGACAGTCTTATCCTTTCGGACATTATGAGATAGAAATGGATGATACCTGCCTAACTGATCTTACAGCCTACTAAATAAGAGCGACTTAAACACAAGTTATTGTCACAAAAAGTATGAAGTTCCCCATTGCGCAAACTACATATGAGTTTGTGTGCATTTGCATATGTCACACACAATACTTGTGAGGTACATATATGTGTTTGTTAAGTTCAATGCAGTCTCTGCCTATACTTCATTTCATGCAAAGAGTTATGGGATCCCTCATACCCCTTTAGCACCAGATAGTGACATTGTGAGATTTTTACGTTAAAGGAACTATTATAGAAAGCACAGTAGTAGCCAGCATACTACTCAGATAGCACTTAGCTTATTTTGTCTTTTCAGCCTTTATCATGATTTAGATGTAAGATATTTTGAGTGATATTACTTCTTTTACGATTTGATTCCTGAGAAAAAAATCTTTAGCTTAACAGAAATCTGCCAAATTTGTAATTCTTGCAGGAAGCAGAAAGAGTGTCAGGCATCGTGGATGTTGTTGTGGACCTAAATGCAGGGTAGAGGAGGCAGAGATGGTCCTTGCAATTTTAATGGTGAGGTAGATTTTACAAAAACATAAATCCAGAAATAACAGGCTGGGAACTCAGGAACCAGAAACTAGAGAAGCTCAGAAGAAACAAACATACAAGAAGGAAATTAAGAGAATCCAGAACTGAGGAATAGCAGAGGTGGTGTATATGTGGGAGACAGAACCAAGAGTGGTGTAATCAGTTAATTGGGAGCAGGTGTGGACAGATGCAGCAAGAAGGGAGATAAGGGGAAAGGAAAGGGTCACTAGGGGGCAACATAGAGTAACAAGGGAAAACAGGGTATAACTGTTACTGGAAAAGAACTTAAATAAGGCTGAAGGGGAATAAAACTAATAACTACAAAATAAGGAAAGATCAAGGGAAAACCACAGGATAAGAGAAGGGACTGGATATAACGGCAGCCATGGAAAACATAACCTAAGGATAAGGGAAGTTATGACTAACTACAACTAGACCAAGGAATAAAAGTAACAAAAATGCTGAAAAGAGAATAACAAGGACAAGTAAAACCAATAATTCAAATATTGTATAAATCAATACAGAATAACATAAAATAAAGCATATCTGAGAACCCAAAATGAAACTTACACGGAACCAAAAAGTCCAGAATGACAGATCATGACAAAAAGAAAAGAAATTAAAAGCAATGTAAAGCACAACAGGCAGTAAAGCAGGATTTGAAACAATGAAATAATTTCTTTTGTCACCTCTGGATATCAGACAAAAATAGAAAGAATTTAATGAATCATTCTAAAACTAGTTCAACAGTTAATGTGGGCCTATATTTTAACAGGAGTGTTCAATTTTGGGATCCACTGTACACTACTAATATAGTGGTATCAATAACTAATTTAACATTTTATTAGTAAAATTAAGAAGTACCAATTAGGAATTATTAGATACTCCTTTATCTGCTTACTGTGGGTTGTGGCAGGATGAATCCAGCCTTTTAGACTGTGGCTTAAGAGATAGGGTCCTCTGTCACATCCTATCAATGCCCCAAGGGAACAAAAAGTCATGGATTGTTAATTAGAAGCTCCTAGAAACTCTAATCAATTTAAAGAATTAGAGTATGAGTAGAGATAATGGTTCAAGACATTTGTTTCAAATATAGGTTGTAAATGTAGCCAAAAAACTGTGCAACAGTTATATATAAGCATGGGATTCACTCCCTAAATGAACCAAGATGTAAGTTTGTATTCTTATAATAGCTATTTTTGTGTGAGATAGTTAAAGAATTAAAGACATTTTTTTCCCAAATTGTTACACAGTGGGCTGTAAATGAGTTAGAAAAAGGTACACAGACAACACCTTGAGAGTAGTTTCTGGGTTTTGCTCCACATGTGCTTAAATAAGTTTTTGTATACAAAACTTGCCCACAGACGCACCTGAAAAATTGAGGGGTCGTCGCAGTTTAATCAGCGCTATGTCACTATCATGGCTCCTGTGGTTGTAGTTCTTGTTGTAGATGATCTTTTCCACCACATAACCCGCATTTTGAGCAATTGTAGCAGAGCTACGAGTTACAATGCCGGCATAGACCACCCAGCTGGACACCTGAGGTAGCCTGTAGCTGACATTTCAAAGGTAAAACAGACAGTGATGAAAGAGATTGTGTCCTGCAGCTGCACAGCTGTTAATTACTGATTGTTGCCCTTCAGAGCAGCTCTGCCCTCTGACCTATAACGCTGTTAAGGTCAGCAGCTTACTTGTGCACACAGTGAGCTGCTGTTACTATCCAATGGCTGGTGATGATTGACCCTCCACAGTTGTGACGGTTGTTGTAGTAGAGGCTGACTTGCCACGGCCACCTGCCCAGCGTGGCCTCAACACCTCCTATTATCCTGGGCAGCTTTGCTCGGGTCCCACACTCTGCACAGAGATTCAAAGTTTGGACTGGTTAATGCAATAATTCTGGTGCAGCTGTAGCTATGCTCTGTTAACTTTGGACATGTTACAAGAATTTTTGTGTTAAAAGGGTTAAAACCAAATTGCTTACCAAAACACTGCAAAGATATAACCTTCCCTGTGCTACAGCTCTCCCTAAATGAAAATAAATTGATAGACTGATTAGGTTTTATCAATATGTTAATAGGTAAAACAGTTAGTGCATCAATCTAAATATAATGTGGCCACATAAATCACAGTACCTGAAGCCCCATATGTTTTCTAGACTAGTCTTTTGCTCCGAGGTAATTTGTATGAATCCTTCAGTGTAGTTTGGCGCAATATCCGTTAGCTTTACTTGTTTATGTTTGGTCAGTCTGGTAAAAAGAAAAAAACACTGAAGTTAGCTGGGGGGAAAATGCTTGCAAATTATTCACACCTCTTAAACATGTTGTTTGTAAAATTATTTTGATTTAATTACAGCTGTTAATGATTTGGGGTATGTCTCTACCAGCTTTGCAAATATACACACTATGAGAGAAGTGTTCAAGCTCAATCAAATTGAACAGAGGATGACTGTAAAATTCCATTTGCCACAAATATGGCACTGACTATGTCTGGGTAATGAAAAAAACATTCTAAGATGGCAAAATTAACTAAATCTTTAACATATACTTTTGGCTGTGTGTGTGATTGTCCTGCTGGAAAGTTAAAAAATATCCATTTCCAACCCAGTCTCAAGTCCTCAGCAGAATCAACAGGTTCTAGTTTTATTTTCCTCTTCCTAATAAAAATCCCTCCCTCACCTTTATTTGAGGGTGAGTTTAAAGTGATCTGCAGTGAAAGTTTCTGCAAAACAGAGCAGCTTATTTGTGCACCCAAAGTAAGGGTTTAGCCTCATCTTATCAGAATGCCTTCTTCTTCTCTTTCTTCTTAACAGCTTCTGGAAAGATTCTTTGAACAGACAGAGCTTCTTTGACCTTCTTGCATCTAAAGCAGTTTTTGTGACACTCTTCTTCAAAGGCTGCATGGGTAAAGAGCATGAATGATGTTTGTTTCATTGACATATTCTGCCAGCTGAACTGTAAATATCTTTAGCTCCTCTAGAGTTAATACAGTATGGGCCTCTTGACAGCTTTTTTTGTCATATAATTTATACTGTCATGTCTTCTAAGTTCTTTTTCCCTGACCTGTATGCTGTGCCTTTGTCTTTATTATGCTTTTTGAACAGAACCAAATGTTGCACCCAAAGCTATTTTATTTCAATATATAACATTTTTTTATTGTATTATTGATTTGTTCAATGTGACTGTTATTTTTTCTGGTCAATTTTGTTGTTTAAAACATCGCATCTAGTTGCTATTGTTTAAGCACATCTGATATAGGCACTACGTCAATGTTAGTGGCGGGAGTTGCAGGAAGAAGAAGAAGAAGATGGCTAGGTGTGATGGTTTTTTCTGCGTGTCAATGCCTGGCTGCTCCAGAGAGAAGCAGCGTGGGGCTAATAAAGTTGACAAATGCGAAGACGGAGTCCTTTCTGTTTCAGGAGTGCAACACAAACAGGTACATAAACACTGAGAATAAATAACATACAGGTAGATGACCTAACCAATGGCATTACTTCTAAAGGGAGTTCATTTAAAAAAAATAAATTTAGAGCTATCTAAAGCCTGAATATTATCATCTTGTAAAACTATATTAAAGACATTTATCCTTTTACGTTACAAATAGGCTTGTTGTTTAAAATATCAGCATACAAGCTTGGTGCCATAATCTAAAAAATTTGAATGTGTTTTAATATTTGTGTGAGGGAATCTGCTTCATGCTAAGGGATCATAAGGGGATCTATGTTTCGACACATGAGGGCAGATCGTTGAAAAGTAGGTACGGGGGAAAAATAAGTGAGTTGGGACCCCAATTCCATCCTAAATTAAAGGGTTAATGTGGTGTTTGTGTTGCCACACCTCAGATAACCAAGCTGCCTGCAGACCAGTGTTCCTAATGATGAGTTCCACCTCTCCGCGCACACCGGCAGCCAGGTGTGCTGTTTCCCAAGCTGGATCTCTAGGAGGGAGTTCTCTGGGCTGATTCTGTAAAACACTGAACCTGATTGATTCAAAATCCCTCCAGAGACAAACTCTCAATCAGCAGTAATGAATGAGCGAGTAGAGCGATGATTGAGAAAAGACCAGCTATGGTCTGTATGTACAAAGAGGTCACTATGTTTTTACATCAGCCAACAAGATTCTTCCACAGGTGAGGCACAGGACAAGATGACTCAGTTGAGTACAAATCTAGCTTCTGTTGATGTAGAAACAATGTCAGAGGTGACTCTAAGTTGTATAATAAATCAAATGACAGTAAGCGGCATAGCAACAGAATCCCCCTATGACTGTTAATCCATCAAGCAGATAAACACACGAGAGGAAAACAAACCTTTCCGTGGGTCAGAGATGGAGACATCATCCGTCATGTTGCAGAAAGACGTCTCCTTTGTATCTCCAAGCCCTTCTGTTGTTTGGGAAGAGGGTGGCCTCAGCAGAAGTTTGACTGAATGCAGAAAAAAAAAGTTAAATGAGTCTTAATGCTATTCTGGAAAATCAAGAATGATTCTGAATTAGTACTCAGAGCAAAGCAACTTCTTCAGTGATCATCTTATACTGTTAGAAGTGATATGGTGTATCTGGAAAGACTAACAAGAATCTGATTTAAAAAAGGATATTAACCTAAATGTATGACTTGCACTATGAAAACAATAATATAGTTCTGTCTGTAAGATAAATTAAAAAGGTTTAAAAAGGCTGTATATTAAGGTCAGTATAAAGTATATTTTAAATGTACACCCTTATTTCTTTGGACCTGGTACCTATAAATAAAACCTAATTTTAGACTGATAAGTTACAATATTTTTGCTGCTTTAATATGTGGCCATGTTTATTTTCTACATCACATCAAAGTTTGTTTTTTCAAATGCAATTTGAATTATATGAAGATTTGTTATTAATTAGGTTTTCTATACTGGTGCCAGATTAATAAATAGAATACGCAGCAGTGTCAGCTCTCATAAGGTTCTTGCTGTTGTAACTTGATAAAGATGTCTGCAAATAAGTAACAACAAAGTGCAGCACCCAGGAGGGGTCATGAATAATACATTTCAGTTTACTATCCAAAAATATGTATCTAACAGGGTCATAAAACTTTTTTTTATGAATTAGCATTAACATTAGTGAATGAATGGGTAAGCAGTGCCTTGCAGAAGTTTTCATGCACCTGTAACTTCTGTAATTCGGTAGATCAAGCATAACTTAATAGCAAGAGAAAAGTATACATTGTTTTTGGTAATTTTATCCAACAAAAACCTTAAAAGATATAATATGTTTTTGTGGCTCTCTGTCTTATAATGAGAATAAGAACTACTAGGAGGTAAAACAAAGTTGGAGAAGAAATTGTTTTAATATTACATTTGTATGTTATGGATTTGTATGTTTGTGATTCAAAATTGGACTCAAGTACCAGTTCAATAAGCTTAACATTGCTTAACATTTGGTATATTTAGAAATAAAAGAAAGAGATATGAGGCTGAAATAAGTGTAGTTTGGGTTTAGCAGTCTAACAGCTGCAAGGTAGAAACTATTTCTAAGCCTGGTGTTCCTGCTCTGGATGCTCCTCAGCTGCCTGCCTTAGGGGAGAAGTTGGAATGGTGTATGCAGGATGGGAGGGGTCCTACATGAATTGGAGCAATCTCCCCATGCATCCTGATGTGTAGAGATCTAAGGTGGAAGAAAGGATGCTCCTCACAGTCCTCTATGCAGCCATCATGTCTGCAGCAGTGCAGCTGCTGTGCCACATGGAGGTGCAAAGAATGCTCTTCACCTCACAGTGACTGAGCTCCCGCTGAGCTCCCAAGTGATTAGGGGCTCTCCTGACCCGGCAAGAAGGGTTGGCACACCAGGTTTGGTCACTGGATAAACACACACCCAGGTAACTGTATTTGGAGAGCACGTCCATAACTACTTCTCCGAGGATGAGGGGATGAAAAGGGTGCTTGTCCTTTCTAAAATTCCCCACCATCTTAGTCTTCTTCACATTGATAGACAGGTCATTGTCTCTGAACCACTGACCTATTGGTTCTATCTTATCTCTGTATTTGGACTCATCATTGTTTGTGATGCATGCTGCAAACTTCACTACAAGACAGTTGCTGGGTCTTGCCAGGGCAATTGTATGTCAGCAGACTAAAGAGGATGGAGCTCAGTATGCAGCCCTGTGGGAAGCCAGTGCTGAAGGTAATGGAGGGCGAGTCGGTGTTGTGGATCCTGTGATTCTTAGGTCTGTTGGTCAGGAAGTCAATGACCCAGCTTCTCAGTGTGGGACTCATTCCTAGATTGGAGAGCTTCTGCACTGAGGTCTGTGGGATGATGGTGCTGAAGAGCTGACATATGTAGAAATATCTGCTCTCCAAGTGGTTGAGGACTGAGTGGGCCACTGATGAGATCCACAGTTACATTCATAGAGTTCTTGATGTGGGTCAGGACTAACCTCTCAAAACGCTTCATGATTACAGTATAGATGTGAAGGCTACAGGTCGGTACTCATTTAGGCCTGTGAGTGTGGAGCACTTGGGGACAGAAAGTCAGTGACAGTGACGCATTACAGATGTCCACCAACACCTCAGAGAGCCCTGGGTTGTTGTTGGGGCCTACAGCCTCGTGGATCATGATTCGGAAAGGTAAAATTACTTCTTTTTTTTTCACATTTACCTGATGAATTGCGTCCTTTTAAATTGCAGCAGATAGAGGTAAGTAAAACCGATACAGAGATCTTAAATGCAATCAAAACGGTGAAGTTTTATTTGGTTTTACAGTGAAAAATGAACAACGACCCAGGAATGCATTAAAATATAGTTACCTGGAGCAAAATGGGTTAGCCCAGATTATAGCACCAATGAGGCGGGGCTCAGCTAGAACAAAAAGTGATAAAACTTTGAACTACAATGGCCTCTATCATGTATATGCATGGCCAAAAATGAGGTACCTTGACGCTTGAAATGTTAGCCAGTCCAACCGTAGAACCGCTTTGTACAAAAGGAAAAAAAAACAGACAGGCTCAATGAGCATTAACATTCAGTTCAGAACTCTCAGCAGTTGAATTAGAAATCTTCTTTCAGATAAAACAAACACAACACATAATAATATCCACTCTGCCTATTTCTCACTCAAACAGAGTACTTATTAAGCATCAGATCAAAAGAGGGGGAAAATGGGTTTAATGTCTTGGCTCAGTGGAATGGATGGGGACCTGGCCAGCTCGGCTCGCTTTGGTTCAGTTCAGTCTGACTCGTCAACCCAATCCTCAATCAAACAGGCAGCTCTTGGAGAGATTTAAATTAATCCGATGCAATGACAATAGAGGCAGATCTGCAGGACTTAATTTGATCACTTACAGGAGCTTGAAAAGGACATCTCTTTAAAGAGGCTGAGAAGTCAAAGAGGCCCGACCAGGGGATCACGGTTTGGAGGTTTGGGGCCCAGGCAATGGGGCCCAGGCTGTTCCATGGGGGCAAACGTGGGATGAGCAGATGAAGATGATGTCTGTAAGGTTTTCTATCTCTGAAGCCAGTGCTCTCTCGTCACTATCGGACTGTTCTCCAAAGATCAGCATTTCTTGGAGGTTTACATGGCAATCTCTTGTTTTTGTGTCCATTTGGCCCTATTTTATCATGTTACTGCATTTTTGCTATTATATTTATTTAGAAATAATTATACATGCAAAATCGTTCATGAGGGGGTCCCCTAACTGCCCTAAGCTACCCTAAGCCTAACCCTCATGCCTTAGTCCGGCACAGAATGAACGCAATTTAGTTTCAAACATCTGGGTGGTATGTTTAAAATATATAAGCTATCATGTAGTTGTCCAAACAGAATCATGAAATCTAAAAAAAAACTTGCAGTACCAATTAAGGTTTTTTTTTTTTTTTTTCAAAAGCCATATGACTGTCTTAACAAGCCTGTCATCACACTGCTCCTTGGAAAACCTGGTGTACGTAGTCTGAGGTGGTAATTGTCTAAAGAAAATGACTTTCTTTTGTTAGAAAGGCCCAGTCAAAGCCTAGACCTAAATCCAATTAGGAATATTTTGCAAGAGTTGGAAATTGATGTCAAAAGTAACCTTTGTCCTTTCTGACTCAATTTGACATGCAACGGTCTTATAGAAATAACTCTAACATTTGCAGCTGTACAGGTTTATCCGCAAAGTATTGATTTCACAAGATTGAATAGTTTCATGTTGCAGTCGTTATGCTTCCGAATTGTGACAATGTTAAAAACAACAAATCCTTTTGTGCAAAATTATGCAAAGATTTTGTGTTGGTCTGCCTAATAATATTCCAATTACTATCCTTAAAGCTGTAGCTTTAATTTGACAACATGTCAAACATTTCAAGGGGACTTATTTTAGATTCTTTTGCAAGGCACTAAATCCCCATGGTAATTCTAATGAGACCTTTAGCCCATTTATTTTTACTTCCTAGCTCCTGCTAAGCTCATTTAGTCATTATTTCTCAGACACATTGACTCACCTAGAAACCAGACACCTACAAGTAAGCCTCCCAGGAGTCCAACTGCACACACTGCTGCCAGCAACCTCACCAGTCTGTGAGCTAAAGTAACAGTTAATAATAGTGTTAATGCCTTCTTAACCATGATGTGAGCTGAAAGGAATGATCAAATGTCAGCTGGTAAATATATTTGCTAGTGAACACATAGCACCAACACAAGAGGAAATAAGGATTTCTAGAATGCATATTTGTCAGAAATGAGCAAAAATACTAATCCAAGTAATGTTTTTTTGATGAAGTGCCTCTTTATGTTTTGGTATCTACTAGTCTACAGACTGTAAAGAAAATACTTGTTGATGCTTACTGTGAGTTGTAGAATGGGTTCCTTTTAACCAACCCTGGACCCCTTTACTCGCCTGAACTCCAGCTGTTGTCTCTGATTGAAAGGGATGACTGACGGCCACTGGGGTTTCAATTACTGACAATGCATCTCCATCAACACTCTGTAAGAATTAAAGTGGGCACATCAAGTCTCATTTAGAGCTCTTTTCTGTTTGAAAAAAAATTGGCAACAGTGCTGACCATCTGCTCCTGAGCAACATTCAACCTGTCGGGTTCTGTCGAATTTAATTAGGAGATCTGTATTGCGGAATATTATCCACCATTAACCAGTCCAGATGCATGCATCCAGGTAAGTAAACATCGATGTGTGTGTTGTTTTCCCCCTTCCTGATTGCAGAATAATGAGTTAGCAGAGACGTTGAGTTGTCTTTTCTTTTTGTTTCTTAGCTGCACATTATGTTCTATGCTGCATTCCTTTATATTATATTTCTCCTGGGTGTCTGTTTACTGAGCAATCCCACCTAGAAGCAGCTGTTTCTATAAGCAATTTATTGTAGTAATTATAACCCATCTCTCAATATATGGGACATGCATAGTCAATATCCTACAATTACTTTGCAAACTTCATCTACATGCATACAACAGCAGCTGCTCATGTACAGTGCTGGTTAGACATTTGCAAACACAGAATGTCTTTTTTGGGGATTTTAAGATGAAAATAATTCATGCCTTTTTTCTGGGTGAACTGTTGATACCCCACTACGAAACCTAGATGCAGCAGTTAGAACATTATTGTGGATTCACTCCAATAAGCATCTCTAAGCTTTTTTGCTGCATTTGAGATCAAAACTATTAGAGAAACTTAAAATTAGGCCTTTTTATCCAGTTTGAGACCAACACTGGATTGTTGTACTGTTATAACACATATCCATTTCTAATTTCAATATGTGAATTTGAGTTGAAGTGGATAACTTCAGAGGATATCTTTGTTCATTAACAGTCCATTTTCTCCCTTCATCCGTTCTGGTGTATTTCACTAGAGTCTTCGTTTGTGAAACAGATCCTTGGCATAATACTTTCACCACCATGCCCAAAGGTTGGTATCTGGTAAGTTTGATAACTAAGCAGTCTTATTGGTGGGGCTTTGGAAAAAATTTGCAGCATTATGGTCCTGGGATTTCTTGTTGTGTATTGTACTGTATGTTAAAAACAAGGAAATGCAATATCCAAATTCTTCAGCTTTATCTCGAATCAATTGTTCCAAACTGGATGTAATTAGCTGTTCCAGCAACACAATGATCACACACAAGACTAAAAATGGTTGTGGACTAGAACAAGGAGGATATTTATGTTTAGAAAGCCTTGACCTATACTACTCCAAAACATTTTAAACAACGCCTAAAAGCTAGGAAACAAAACATTTAAAATTTAACGAGAATACAAAATATTCAGTCAGAATTTGAGACTGAATATTTGAGAGCCACTAAGTGTCTAGATTAGGCGGGACTTGCTAAGAAAACTTTCATTAAATGTTACATGTGTAAATATAATCCTTTTGCATTCTTTTTAACCACGGAACAGATTTAGGATGTGGTCATCCTACACTGTACTCTTTAAAAAGGGTTCACATAAATAATTAAAAACCCACATAGCTTTATGCCCATGGTGAGCATACATGCATTTTTCATTGATGCAATCTTTGTACAATTTTAGACGTAGACGTTAAGTATTCTCCAAAACAATAGGAAGTTACATTCCCTTGAGGAAAATTGCACATTGAAGTGAAAGGCAAAAAATAAAAAAAAAATAAAAAATCAGTCATTAATAAAAGATGCATTTAAAGAAAACCTAAACCAAGAGAAAAACAAAAGTTATCAGAAAAGTGACCATCTTAGGACTACATCAAACAGATGAAACACTAGTTCTAGTTTTCATTGTCTCCTACCATGTTTTTCCTTGTTTACGGACCTGATGAAAAAGCTGCAGCGTCGTTCTTGCTCATCTGTAAGCCTGCTGTGGTGTAGGGATGGACGTTCGTCCCTGTTGATTTGCCATTTAACAGAATGCAACTCTGGATTTTCCCGTCACAAAGAGACAATGAGGTCAGCAGCGTTGAGGAGAATGAGGCTGTTGTTTGACAGTTGGGTCATGGGGCCAGTAGAAGCAAGTGAAACCTTTTTTTTTTAAGGTAGGTGAGGGAGAGGATCTCTAAAGATACTCCTGAATTTGTTATTGGTAGGATTCCTAGTGGTTGCCGGGTAACTCTTTTTACCTGAGCCAAAAGATAGTCTATTCTCACCTGAGACGCGTTATTACCTGACAATTTCTGGGTTCTGTGAAAAGGTCATTATTGCAAATTGTTGAAAAGTCTCATATCATGTCAAACCCCATCATTTGAAACCCAAAGCTATCGTCTCTCAGCACTCATTGGTAAAATTAAGTCCACTGACAGATGCCCTCTCTTTTAAATGGTTCCTTTTTACTAGAGTTGTTTTTTCTCCCAATTTAGAGGCATGCTCTTTGTCTTAATTAGTTTAGAAAATGTAGTTACAAAGATCCATTAGGTTGAAGAGAAGAAGGAAAATAATTAGCATGTTGAAAAAGGGAGATGAGTGCTTTTGAATACAGCCAGAACAAAATAGTTTAGCTTCATCAGATAGAAGATCAAAGCCTGTCATTACCTAATTTCCTTGGAAACGAACTGAATTTCTTCTCATTAGACAACTGATTATAATTAGATCCATTCAGCGAAGAGAACATTTGATTAAAAATAAATGTGTATTTATATCTTTTATGATGTAGGATTAGTTTCCAGGTGAAGGGATAAACTGCAAGGACGAAAATTCCTTCCCATCAAGTTGTCAACGCGGACTGAAAGAGAAAACCCAGCTCTGTTTGGCTCATCTCACAGGTGTAACATTAAAGACTTAAAAGTCAAACACAGAGTTGTAAGACATGTGGCAAAATTCACACTGCATTTCATGAAGATACTGTTTTTAAAAAGTGGATTACAATATAAATCTCGTGTTGAATTGTTCTGGAAAATCAGTCAGTAGAAGGACATCTAAGCTGTTGTCTGGCAATTTTTAAAACCATTTAATGTCTCTTTGACTAACTTTTTATTTCACATGCAAAGCCAATAGGAATTTATTCTGCTGCATTTATTGAATTCATTTTTGTTTCTCTTTGCATTTATGTGGGTCTTAAGAAATGTGTTGAACAAAAATATATTTTACACATTTTATTTTCCTTCTTCTGACACATTTTAAAGTCCTTCAAATGGAAGGGAAATAGCTGTAAAAATAGCCTGAAACCAGTGTTTCATATTATATTCTTATAGCACCAAAACTAAAATGTAAAATCATGTTAAAAATAGGTTTAATTATCAGAAAATCTATTTAAACCTTTGTTTAATCAAGAGATAAAAGAATAATGTTTTAGGTTTGAAAATGAGACCATCACCAGTTACAGTATAGAGGCTTATTACATCTTTAGGCAATTAAAATCAAATCACTAATGTGATGGAATGTAAAATCAACAGCACATTGCAAACAAATAATGTCCCCACAAGCTCATCCAAGAGGAGCGAATCGTGCATAGTCAATAACTCAATATAATTAGCTGGGATTCATTAGATTAAAAATAATAATAATTAGCCAATCCGTCTGTAAGATTTGATTGGATTTTCTCTGTTAAGGGTCTTTAGATGACATGTTTTGTGAATTGGTGCTATATAAATTAACTGAATTTAATTAAATTGAATAACTATCACACCAGCATAATGTCTGTCATCACTGGAAAAGTATATGAATGATGAGGCTTGGTTGTAAAACAGGGCTAGTGGTCATAATCTCTCATAATAACTGTTAGAAAGTCTTCTTTATAGTGTATGGATCCTAACTTTATTATGTAGGCCTAATTTAAAACATTAAGGGTATTATAAATTTAAGTCATGATGTCTGTGATTAAATTTTGCGATGGCAACAATGTGACACACATCTATAATAGAAAATATTATAAAACAAGAAGAGCTTCTACTTGTGATTTTCTAAATGTTTTTTTATGCTTCTTTTAACATCAAGTGCTATTGGGACTAAGTTCTGCTATCCTAACAATACTGATTAATTATATATATATTTTTTAAACATCCAAGGTATAAAACATGACCCTGTTTGCCACAAACGCTTAAAAGACTGAAATCCCTTTTTAAATAACAATACTAAACTTTTTTCTTCTGAACCTTTGACTTGCAGCAGTTGGTCCGTTCGGTACCATAAAGGTTTAGTGTTGTGAAATTGGGAAGTGATGTAACAGAGTGGAAAGCAAACCCTTGATATCTGTTTCTCTTTTTTGATGTTTTCACTTTTTTTCATTTCAGTATAATTTCGTTATTTATTTATTTGTTTTCAATCTTTGGTGTCTGTTTTCAAAGGCATTATATTTTGATACAATCATAGCTCCCTTGTTATTAGTAGTTTCCAACAGTTTTGTAGTGTAAGTATTTGATAAAATGCTGAAATTGTGCTTGTTGAGACATCCTGAGATAACCCTAATATTCATAATTTCATCAAAATCTAAAATATGCCTTCAATGCAGAACAATAGCAGTAATCCATGTGTGAACTCCAAATGTGTGTATTTCAGTCTAAAGCTCCTTTGTGAAGATGTTGGCAAATGGCCAGTTTGGATCCTTATCTATCAGTCTTTTTCTCTGAGGGGGTTGTTCTCCTAGCTCACATTTAATCAGTTCTTCTTTTATCTCTGTCATCAGCATGTCTGCTTCTGTAAATGTCCAACCTCAAGCATTAAATGCTTTCTCTATTTCCTGCCAGAAAACGCATCACTAGGTTAAAACTGAGCTGAAAAGAGGACGATTACCGGTAGTCCTTTTGCATTTTTGAGCATTTGATTCTGAACAGCTTACAACCAAAACCAAGCTTATATGCTTTAATGCATTTAAAATCGAATCACTCATTTCAAAACTTCATTTTTTTGTGTGTGTTTTTGCCTTTGAGAGGCCTGAACACTGTTGAGATTGATGTTAATGGTCAGAAAGAGAGTAGATGAAATGGAAAGTAAGACAATGGCAGTGAAATACAGAAAGAACAAGAGGTGTTTATTCCTACATATAAATAGATACTGACAAAGTAACCTATCTCATACCACATTAAAATTTAAAAAACATGCCAAAGAGAATTCAGAGTTACAAAATATCCAAAACTTTCTTTAAAGTATGATATACATAATCTAATCACATTCTTTATCTTTTTTTCAGACTGGATGAGTAATTCTGAAAAGCACTAATCATCCAACACATTTCACATTTTCCTCTTATATAGGTGTTTCTCGGTTTTGGACAACAACAGATTCATAACCTTTAATGTTTAGAATGTTATTTTCAGAAGCAGCTATATATAATAATTTTAAAATGAACCGTTAGTAACCCAGTAACAGCACAATTAGAGTAACTAATTACTAGTCAATGTAACAATGTAGTTAGTTTTAATGATGTTCAATGTCAAATAATGTATATCTTTTGTTTTTGGACTTTAAATACAACTGGAGGTTAAAATATAAAATATAAGTTTTTGCTCCTAATTGATGATTTCCATAATTTTGTAATAGAACTACATGCAGTATCTTAAAACATTATAAACTTAGGTTTTATTTGTGGGCAGAGTGAGATGCAAAATAATTATGTAGATTAGATTTGTTTTTTTGTTTGTAAAGTAAATCAGATGTAGAGCTTCATATTTCTGTACACTGGTGGCATCTAACTTGTTATAAAATGTATATGACCCTAATGGTTTTCAAGTAGTTTGAATAATTATAATAATTTGCAATGTAATTAAACAGAGGTTTCATTTCTGTTCTAGAAAATATTTGTGTAAAAAAAAAAAAAAATCATTCAAATAAATTCAGTATACAGTAGCCAGGTGTCAGTCAGTGTTGGGATGATATGAGGAGCTGCTTTACATTAGGAATGCTCCTACCTGACGTATGAAGTCTTTGTTTTTGCAAATAATGAGAAAATAGTTAGCCTTTAAACTTCAGAGAATGCCTTTCCTTAGAAAAATGCTGTTATTGATTTGGATGGCTCTGCGCCATTGTCTCTCCTCTGTGTTTAACCGATGTAACACCTGCCCAGATTGCAGCTCGTCAGCCACAGGGGAGAAATGTACTCATTACATCAGCTCAAATAGTCAAAGGAGGAGGATGTGCCAAAGGAAGGAAAAGGTGCATGGGATATATAAAATATATACAGAGTGTCCACATATGACAGGTTTTGTTTTTCAGCAGAATCATTATACCATAACACATGGTGTTTACATGGGTATTCATATGGATGGATATTTATATGCATATATATATAGTTATCGCAGTGGGTGTAAATGTAGAGAAACAGATTATTGCAGAGGGTATCAAATAGTAATTTCACATCACATTTTGCAAGACCCATTCTGGGTCTTTGAGTGGTCTTTGAGTGGTAGCGCTCTTTTTTCAAACAGGGTGTAAAAGTCTTTCATTAAAGGAGCTGCTCAGCTCCTCTACAGTCTGGTGCAGGGGGTGAGAGGTGTTGTCCATGATGGATGTAAGCTTTGACAGCACCCTCCTTTCAGCCACTTCCTCCACTAAGTCCAGAGTGCAGCATAGGAAAGAAGCTGCTTTTCTCACTATTTTATTTAGTCTCTTTCTGTCCCCCTCTGCGCTGCCAGGGGCCCAGCAGAAAACAGCATAGAGGAGGGCTGATGCCAACACAGAGTCATAGAAAATTTTAAGCAGGGGCCTGCTCACTCCAAAGGCACGCAGCCTCCTCAGGAGGTGTAGGCGCTCTGGCCCTTCTTGTACAGGGTGTCGGTGTCATGAGTATAGTCCAGTTATTATTGACATCAACACCCAAGTATTTGAAACTCTCCACAGTTTCTATGTCCTGCCCCTGGATGTTCACAGGGGAGTGAGGTGGAGATCTTCTCCTGAAGTCGATCACCAACTCTTTGGTCTTACTCTTCTCCCACCAGTCCACAAATTTCATGATGACCGATCAATACTTTTGCTGGCTCCCCTCAGAAACACAGCCTGCAACAGCAGTGTCATCGGATAA